CGCCCGGCCCCGCGCGGCGCCCGGAGCACCGGGACGGGGGCTCGCTGCGGAACGAGCCGCGGGGAGCGCCGCCGCCGTGTTCTCGGAAGCCGCGCTCAGGCTGCTCGGAAACTCAAGGAAGACGGTCTGCGCAGCTTCGACTCTCAGAGCGCCTTTCCATTAGATGGTAAATATACTCATTCGCACAGAAATAAAGTAGCACACAGCAAGTCTAGAAGACAGTTTGGAAAACATAAAGAACCAGGTGCAGCGGCACATTCCTGTAGCCCCAGCATTCAGAAGGCTGAGGCAGGCAGATCGCTTGGGCCCAGGAGTTTGACACCAGCTTGGGCAATATGGTGAGAACCCACTTCAAAAAACCAGACAAGTTTACGAATCAAACACAAACAGGCCTTTGAGCAAGGAAGTAAGGCACAGGAATGCTTCATCGCCTTCAGCCCTAAAACACCCTCTTTGACTGAAGGCTCATGGCAGGGAGCCTGCACTGCCCTCTCTCGTCTGAAAAGGGAAGCGAGTCGGCTCCGGGACGGCACACCGACTGCGGTGAGCTCGACAGCACCCGGCGGGCAGCTCAGTCTGAACAGGACAGACAGGCCGAGAGGCAGCTTTATAGATGTAAAATATTTTATTTGTAAATGGTGATCTTCTAAATCTGTGTCCACAAATTTCAAAACCCATAACACTCTGTATACGTCAAAAAATTCAATTTCTGTCAACATTAGATACTATTATACAGAACAGAAAACAAAAACCCGGTAAGACAAATACTGGTAGGATGTCAGAATATTGTACAGGAGAAGAAAAATATTCAAGAAACAAATTTCATACAGCTATTTATCAAGAGAAAAATATATACAATTGATTTATTCTGTAAGATAAAAATACATCATGCCATATACATTACAAGTTCAGAACTGCGTCACTGAATGTACCAACAGTTTACAGTCCACTTGAATTGTGCACACAAAACTTCATTTATACTCAGCCTGGGAAGTGTCAGTACCAGAATTTTAAGTACAAAATAAAAAGCTAGCCTGGTTCAAAATGCTGATTAAGTTTCTACAAGCAAACACAAAACAGTGTTTTTTATTAAAGAAATGTAAACAAACAGTTCATACAAACACATCTTAAAATTACATCTTCGAAAAACCCTATTGCCGGAGTCCTGCAGCCTTGAGCATAATAATCACATCTCTCACTCTTTTTTTTCCTTTTTCAAATTTTTGTGTTAAATAGAAGGCTAAGGAGTTAGATAAGTTCCTGCTACATGATTCTAGTATGTGTACATGATTTTCTGTGGTCTGAACAAAGTTCTAATCAAAACTATTTCTGCTGAAGAAAAAATTCAGCCTCCATTTGGGTGTATATTTAAGCAGTTATTCACAGTTATCACAAATTGTAAGCACAAAAAAACCTGACTGAAGAAGTAGGGATGCAACAATATAATATGAAAAAATTAGTTTAAATTACCAAAACAGCTATAAAAGTTGTAGTCAGCATACAGTCTGTTCTGTCAGAAGTTAGGTGTATAAAACAAGTAATAATAGACTGTAGTTTCCAAAAAACCCCAAACACTCCAGGTTGAAATTGTGGTTATTACATAATTATAATGGCATATTTTAATAACACAAAATTATATTGTAACATCCCTATGACGTTTTATAAGCACCCGAGCTGCTGCAGAGCCTGGTAGCATTTGGTCAATAACTATTTTTATACTGTATTTTTTTTCTCAAAATATTTACATATTTGTACAAAGTAACAGGGTTAGTTCTGCAGGTAACAGCAGCAGCTTGGCTTTCTTCTAACTTTTATTTAAAAATAGCTTCATTCACTTATTCAATAATAAATACAAAAAGTTTCTCTTATTTTACAGAAATCAAAAACTACAATAAACTGACTCATGGAATCAAGTATTTAAATGTATTTTAGTGCAAGTTATTATCCCTTAGCTCTATCCCTAAGGAAGTCATCACGGTACATTCCTTGTTCAGTGGCGTCCACGGACTTCACCTAGAGGGCCTGCCCCTTAGTAGGCGTGGCCAGCACTCTGGACATCCCCTTCGCTGGTGATTTCAGTCTTACATTCATAGGAAGGCCCCTGCCCGGGGCAGGGCAGCCATCGGCTCTTTGCCCCAGTAAAAGTTTCTCCTTAGTGAGACTAACAAAACAAAACAAACCCACCCGCAGGGAAACAAAGAGGACAGAAAAGAAAGGAAAGAAAACAAAAGCAAAAGTGCTGGACTTCTGTGACTCTGCTTACCCTCTGCACCGAGGACTGTTGGCCAGCAGCTCTGCAGGCTTCCTTAACCTGCAGGCCGAGGAAACCCCACTCCAGAAGCTGTTCCACCAAAGTTGGACAACAGAAAACAAAACTAGCTCTCCAATGGTGTGTTGAGTCGCCTTTTCCTAGGGACAAGCCGCCCGCTGAGACAGCAAGGAATGCATCAGTTCATCCACTTCCGGCAGTTCACCGCTCCGCAGTGGCACGGAATCTTGTGCTGGTCGTCTTCGAAGTCGAACTTATAGTCATAGCAGAGCTGCCCGTGGCAAAGACATAGCATGAGACAGCAGCACAGGGAGCAGGGGCCTTCCTGCCTCCGCCTCCTGTGTGCCTCAAAGCCAGTGGGCAAAGCAGGCCTTGATGAAAGGAAACCAGCTGTGCCGCAGTCCTAGGGGACGTGGGGGACTCGGTTTGGAAAGATGCTCTATACTGAAAAGCGCTCACTGCACCGCTGCCCTAACAGGGACCCCACTACCTGTCACAGGCCTTTGCTCATCTCCTACGGAAAGGAACCATGGCGTGGTGAGGAGGGCCTGCTCAGGAGGGCAGCTGGGTCTGTCTGGACTGCCGTGGTGCCTGCTGCGGTCCTCGCACGTATCTCACTGTTCAAATGGCTCTGAGATGTGTGGCGAGCCCTGGGCCTGTGTGTGTCGTGGGCGGGCACCGGGCACCGAACCCAGGGCTTCTGTGCTGAGCTCCATCCTCAGCCCTTTCTGTTTATTTTGAGACAGGAGCTTGCTAAGTTGCTCATACTGCCTCAGCCTCCCAAGTGCTAGATTACAGGTGTGCACAACATCTGGCCAGATGGTTATTAAAAAGCAGACTCCAAAAACATGCCCAAACACACAGGTGCCTTCACAATACATCCCCACATCTGTGTTCACGCAGGGCCAGGGCCTCCACCACAGTGAAGACACAGGCTCCTCCCACCCCACACAGCAGGGCTTGGCCAGCGCTTTGCAACAGACACCGTCCTGCGTCAGGGACATGGGCTGACCACGCAGAGGACAGAGCTGGCGGATGTGATGGGGCTATGTCATCTTGTGAGACCACGGGGACAAAGGTCACGTTCAGCATTCAGCATGACACCGTGAGGAGAGCTGACGCTGGAATCTGAGGGCCAGCGGGACCATCCGTGTGAACATGCGCGTCTGCGGCATCCACCCCTGGATCTGTGTCTGTGGCCCGCCTGGGCTTGTCACAAGTCACTGCAGCCCCAGGGACCGAGACAGCAGCCTTCCACGGTCTGCGCATAAGTCCAACAGCAGGTGTCTCCTCAGAGAGCACCGCCACCAGCAGCCAGCTAAGTGTAAGGTGGGCCTGCGGCACGGGAAGATGCCACCAAGTGGCAGAGGATGCAGGGCTCACGGGACAGCAGGATGGTGGGGGGTAGGGGGGCACTGACGTTATACATTCAGAACTCCCAAGTGCAGGTAGGTGGCACCTGGACCCTGATGGATGAGACAGGGCTGGGTGGCAAAACGCAGCCTATCACCAGGAGGCTCTCTAGCTGTGGAGAAGTGGAAGCAAGCTCGGGTGGCAGCATAAAGAAGGAAAGTGGGGCGGAACAAGGACACCCTCTGCCCTCACCTCTTCTCCTTTCTGGATTCTGCGATTGGAGCTGATGATAATCTTGTGTCCTCTCTCAAAAGTCACCACTTCCGCCACACAGTTAGGTGCACAAGAATGGTTGATGTACCTGGAGCCGCCACAGTGAACACAATTACTGGGAAGCTTAAGGAGCACTGTGTGCTGGTTACGTTCTCATTCCCCCTTAATGAAACAAGCACGGAGCCCAGCTTCACAGCACATCCCGGAGGGACACTCCTCTGCATTCACAGCCCGCTGCAGCGAGCGCTTTCACCGCCTCCACCTTCCCTCTGCCAGCGCCGCCCGCGCCCAGGGCGCCCGCCTCACCTTGCAGGCCCCCCTGTGAGTGTTGCATCGATGACGTGGTCGTTGTCCATGCGGAACATGTACACGCCGCGGTTCTGAAGAGAGAGCAGTGCCGTCAGGTGTGCGGGGACGCCCTCCGCCCCCCACTCGCAGCAGGAGCCAGGGCTCCCACTCACGCTCCCTGCGGGCCATGCGCTCCCCGTCCTGGGGGCCTTTCCAAGCACCCCGCACCAAGGGCAGGCCTCAGCCTAGCAGGCTGTTGTGAGTCCACAATTACATCTACGTAAGCAACAACTGGAGAAAGAAAAGCGCAAAAAAGGGAGCGGGTGGGGCAGCCGGTTCACTCGGCCCGGGCAGAGCCCCACCTGGGACTCGTACAGCTTCTCCTTCCTGTTGGCAACTTCGTTCCGAATGATGGTCCCGATGTACTCGATGACCATGGTGTGCTTCTCAATGTCTCTAGCAGCATACAGGCCCAGGCCCTGGGGGGCAGAATGCACACACTGCAGCCTCCGCTCCTCAGACCAAGGGGTTAGCCCCTGGCAGCAAGAGCCGAGCTTGAGGGTTCACCTGAACTCGAGTGACGTTTTTTAAATTCTTAAGAGTGTATCCACAGTTCCAATGTAGCCCACGTCTACGAGAGATCTGAGCCGCGATGCCACGGCGCTGAGACTTACCGGCGTCGTGAGATCTCAGCCTCCCCACAAGCCCCGCTCCCTCGTCCCAAGCCGTATTCACCTGGATCCGAGACCGAGCCAGATACACGTTGGATTTCCATTCCGTCTTCATTCGCCGGTACTGCGACGACTTGGAATGGACGAACTGCTTACTGTAAGGTGCGTTCAGCTCTCCTGTCACTGTGCTCTGAAACGACTTCGAGGTGCTGGTGCTGTTCAAGGTGTGCGGCCTGCAGATGACGGCATAGTAACAGGAAACAAAAGGAGAACTGAAGACACTTCTGAAGAGCGCTCCAGGCCAGGCTGATTCAGTCTTCCTCACAGAAACACACAGAAAGCTGCCCGGCAGAGACACACGCAACCTGAGGTGGCTGGGCACACACACAGCTGAGAACAGCAGGGTTTGTAAGCGGCAGACAAATAAAGCACAAAAACCAACAGGCCTAGAAACCCTGAGCTGTACTATGTGAAGTTAAAACAAAATACCTTAACACAAACCTCTTGACATGGGCACTCATTTTAGGTTCGGAACGGGCACAACCTGTGGGGTTGACAGCAAGCGGCAGCTCCATGAGAGGGTTCCGACCGTACCGAAAGGTGTAGTTCTCACAGGCCTCAACCCCAGGGAGCTGAAAAGCAGCAGAATACACGAGGTGACTTACCCGGCCGAGACTGCAGACCTCGGGAGCTGGCCGAGGATGGTGTGAGGTGCAATCAACGCAGAAACGTTTCTCCCAAACACAGGGTTTTTAACGCACCTAACGCAGGCTGCCTGCACCCTTATCTACATGAGCGTAATAAGCACGCAGGCTCTGGCAACCCCTAGCAAATAAATGCTCCTCGAAGAAGAAAGCCCATGGTTAACCAAAGCCCGGGCATGTGGATTTCCAGTATCTGATAACCTAGGGAGTGTAATGATTCAGAACTGAGGGCTTCCACCTGGAATAACGCCTACTTCTGTATCTGTGCCTGGAACTTTAAACTTAAGCAGACTTAGGAGTCATTTTCATGGCTTCTTCCTGGATCATTACTCGCCTCTTTCAAACGTGACCATGACACTATGCGGTCGTCACCCTCACTGTGGCAGGCATACAGATGTATAGTCACGAGTATGTTCAGGGTCTTCTCTAAAACGTGTTTCTTGGGGCTGGGGATTTAGCTCAGCGGCAAAGCACCTGCCTGGCAAGCGCAAGGTCGTGAGTTCGGTTCCCGGTACCGGAGAAAAACCCAAAACCCAAAAAAATAAATAAATAAATAAAACGTGTTTCTTGTGAGGTGTATTTCTCTATGGCCATAAAAGATGCTTATCACTCAGGCAGTACTCCTACTCCCAGGGAAGCAATCAGCCTCCTTCAGCCTTCTCCCAGTGGCTGGGGTTTCCTCTGCTCAGGTCTGTGTTCTAGAGAACTAGTACAGCCCCACGGCTCTCAGCAGCACTGTGCGCCTGTGGTTCAGTTACGCACTGTCAAGCACGCTTCGGCAGAGCGCGTCAGAGAGGCCACTAACAGGTGCTGCTGCAGTCCTCTGCCTTCTGCAGACCAACTCACACTAAGAGGAAGCTGGAGAGAGTCCACAAACACCGCGTGTCAGGACAAGGGCACCCTCACACCGGCAAGCGCACAAGAACCTTGGGAAGCCAGGCACAAGAGGCATCTCCTCATCCGTCTGGGTCCTGCACCTGGGTGTGCTCAATCTGGGAACTGCACGCCACCTCTCTGAGCGAGGGCCCCACACAGCACCAACGCTGTCTGCCCTGCAGACTCGGGTCAGTCCCCGCAAAGCCACCATTATTACAGTGTCAGGTGAAGAGGTCACACAGAATTAGGGACAACTGCAAATTCCAATCTTGACCAAGACACTCACTGATTCAGCTATCCGTGCCACCGCAGAGACGGTTAAGCCAAACAGGTCTTCTCCTTTTAAATATGCAGGGAAAAGCTGGAGCATTTCCGATTTTTTTCTCACGCATGCAACAGGCTCCAAAATCTTATCCCAAACACCTACATATGGACAAGAAAATAATTTGATAATAAACCTGCTTTTGGCTAGAGAGAACAGGACACAGTATAAAACCAAGGGCCCACAGTCATCTCTCTCAAGGACTTACTGGTTTCCAAATCTGTGGGCAAGAACCAAACAAACCTGTGCACTAAATGGTAGCCATTTAGTTTTAAGACCTTATGAAATCTGGGGGAAAATAATCTCTCATTAAGAGCATTGAACAGCAAAAGTGAAAAAGTTAGTTTAAGACAACTGAAATTCATGTAAATAAGTTAATTATCCTCCTACTGGACAAATAGCTACTTGCTTTTTTTTTCTTTTTTGGTACCAGGAATCGAACTCAGGACCCTGTGCTTGCCAGGCAGGCACTTTTGCCACTGAGCTATATCCCCGGCCATGGCTACTTACTTTAAAAACGATTAGTCCAACCAGGGAGATCTGTAGACTTGGTCCTTTCCCCTCAAGTACTACATTAAAATGGGAAACTTCTTCTTTGGAACTATCTCTAGAGCATTTTATGTATTTAAAAAAAAAATGTATTGCCAGGCATGGTGGCGCACGCCTATAATCCCAGCACTCGGGAGGCTGAGGCAGGAGGATTGCTGTGAGTTCGAGGCCAGACTGGGCTACAATGTGAGCTCAAGGTCAGCCTGAACTGCATAGCGAGACCCTGTCTCAAAAAGACAAAAAAAAATTTATTTTTAAATTGTTTTGTTTAGGCTGGCTTTGCACTGACTATGCAAGCCTATGTGGCCTAGGCTGGCCTCGAACTCACAGAGACCCTCCTGCCTCTCAGCCTCCCAAAGGCTGAGATTATAGGTGTGCGTCACCATGCCTGGATTAAAAAAAAAAAAAACTTTAAAAAGCAGCTCTTCCATACTTTCTGCACCAATGAAATGACAGTTTTGGAGTCAGAACTGAAATGTTAATGGAATCCCCAGCTTTAGGCTTGTACAGTCTCTTACACTCCTGAGATGAGGCAGCACACTTTATGCTTCACTGAATTGCGCTTGCTGCCTTCTACAGACTGACAAGAGGATCCCAAGTATACAACAGGCGGCCTACAGACCACTCTGACTCCTAAAAATCAGCTCTTGCATTCAAACATATACTGACTGTGAAACTATACAGCACCTAGGCGTGGTGAGCCACACCTGCAGCCCCAGCTACTTGTGGGGCTGAGGTTGGAGAATCTGAAGTTCGAAGCCAGCCTGGGCAATGTGGTGAGACCCTGCCTCAAAATACAGCTTTGAAAGGCACTGGGGCTAGTAGATGTAGCTCAGGTAAACCACCTGTGTGGCGCGTGGGAGACCCTGCATTCGATCCCTAGCACCTCAAAACAAACACACACACATACAACTGGAAAACCGTACAGCAAAGAACAACGTATGATAACACAAAGAAGCTAGGATTTATATTTGTAAATAAAAATCCCCACCTGCTGTTACAAAACATGAAATGCACATGAGAAAAAAAATACAGCAACACTGACTTAAAATACCCTTCAGCACACGCAGTCAGATCTTACCTTTGGGTGATATGTCACTTAAGACCAGGTCCTCGTGGCCTTGCTCCACGATCCTGATGACAAACACCGGGCGCCCGTCCTTTTCCTCGATGGAGCACAGGTAGCGGCAGCGCCTGTTGGCGTAGCGTGTGCTCCAGTACAGCCGGCTGGCCTCATAGCCCACAGGGAAGAGCGCCTTGGCCGAGTGGAACGCGTGCATCTGCTGTGGAAGCAGCTGGCCGATCGTGTGGAAGATGAGGCTTCCGACGCGGAACGTGTGGTCCCGTTCTCCTCGCTGCACGATGCTAGCGATCTGGCGCACCTCGTCTCGCTGAACATAGACCCTCCTGAAGACTGCAAAGTAACTTAATTCCTGTTCATGGATTCCCTTTGGTTTGTGCATGGGGCAAAGCATGGTTTTGTCCTTAAAAAACATGCATTGTGCTTTAATGGCGCAAGTGAAGTGATAAATGTTGGTGCACCGGAACCTGTGGCACCCGCTGGTGGCACCCGTCTTATGACAGAAGACACATTTCATCTGCAGGCCCCTCCTCAGTGCTAGCTCTACGTTTATTAAGGCACCAGCCTGAGTCTCGTAGACCTCCGTGGACCACAGAGCACAATTCAAGTGGACCCACAGATCCAAGTCCAGGTTGAGCAGCCTTGCTGGTCCATCTGTCAGCCCGTCGCCTTCTTCGTGACAAAAGCAACACTTGCGATAGTCTTTGGGCACAGGGTCAGGCCTAAGAGAGGTGCCCAATCTCTTGAGAAATTCGTCTATTTCATCCTCACAGGGCGGCTTAAATGTGCCCTTGGGCATGACAATGTGAATGCTCCACTTCTTCCACTTCATGCCTCTCCACTTCTTGTGCAGTGGCCTACAATCATCAAAACCGCCGTGGACAGTCCTGAGCCGCGGCTTCAGCTTGACGGTCACCTTGAGCTCATCGGGCTTGGCCTCAACTTGGGCCGCCTCAAAGGCAGGAGGAAATGCAATGGGAGGTGACGGTGGCGGGGAGGCCTTCTCCTGCAGCTGTGGGAGGCAGTGCACATCCAGGGTGGAGATGTTGTTGCTGTACTGGTGAAAAGCCCTGGAAGGCATCTCCCTCGTAGGTGACTGTGGCAACGGAGGAAGAGATTCCTGAGCAGTAAGAAGACATCGTGAAGGAAGAGAGCACTTGAACACCCTACACGCACTTCTTGCCCCACCAGGAAGCCAAGCAATACGGTTTCGCGGGGCATGTGAGTTGTGGGGTCAGGAAAGAGTCAAAACTAAGTAAGCACTGGGTGTGATGGCACACACCTATAACCCCAGCTACTTGCGAGGCTGAAGCAGGAAGATCACAAGTTTGAGGCAACTTAGACTCCCTCTCAAAACAAAATGTAAAGAGTTAAGGACAGCTGGGCGTGGTGGCGCATGCATGTAATCCCAACACAATCCCAAGCTCAGGAGGCTGAGGCAGGAGGATCACTGTGAGTTTGAGACCAGCCAGGGCTACAGTGAGCTCAAGGCCAGCCTGAACTGCACAGCGAGACCCTGTCTCAAAAAGACAAAAAGACAAACAAACAAACAAACAAACAAAAAAGAGTTGAGGGTACTGCTCAGTGGCAAGAGTGCTTGCATGAGTCCCTCAATTCAATCCCCAGTACAGACGGGAGGAACAGAAGGAAAAAGGAAGGTGGGGAGAGAGAAGGAGGCCGGAAGGGAGAAGAGGGCGAGGGGGAGAAGGCAGCACGGCTCAGGCATAAAGTTGACCTTGAATATTTTGGCAGCTAAGTCTGGATAGAGCAACTGGGGTGATCCCATCTACATATCAAAACACTGCTTCTCTTGGGGGCGGGGGGTGGGGTGGGGGTGGGTACTGGGAGTCAAACTCAGGACCTTGTGCTTGCCAGGCAGTGCGGCTGAGCTACCTCCCCAGCTTCTCTGCTCTTAACCCTTGGAGTCCCCTTTCTAACCCAGCCAGGAAAACCAATGCTGTCTGAAGACCTCACTCATTTAATCTGCACAGTGGAGTGGTGGTTTTTGCCATCTTCACTCCCTGAAATTCTAGTCTGTTCACCTCAGGCTCGAGCACGCTCGTAAGGAGAGTGCGAAAAGCAAAGGGCTCCCTACCGTGAGCAGACACCGACTTCGCACCCTGGCCTGCGCCCTTGTGAACGGCAAAGGCCATCCTCGTGGAACCCAGAACCACCACTCACTCAAACCTGTCCTAACAGCTATCTGAAGAAGCCAGAAGTGGGCAGCAACCACACAGCTTGAGAACCCACCTGGTGAAAACCCACTCCTCAGCTAGGCTGCTGCATTTCAAAGTCTAAATTTATCTGCCAAAAGACTTGGACTTGATTTTGAGGGAGACTACTGCCTGTTAGAAATTTAAGTGTCTTCAGATTGTTTTTCTGAGAAAGACACATTGAAGAAATTATCTTGCATGAGGAATGACTGCAATATCACTCAACAGGAAAAAATTTCCTTCAAAACAATTAAAAATGTGTCATCTGAGCCAGGCATGGTGGCACATGCCTATAATCCCAGCAGTTGGGAGGCGACGCAGAAGTACTGTCACAAGTTTGAGGCCAGCTTGGGCTACACAGTGAATTTAAGGGAAGCCTGGACTACAAAGTGAGACCCTGTCTCAAAAAAGAAAAAAAAAAGGCAGTATCATCTGCATCAACTACACACTTAGATATATTTCAATCACACAAAATCAAAGTAGCTTGGGGTGAACAAAATGTTTTTTCTCCTAATGCATGAAAAGACTGAAATTCTATTTCTGAACAGGTTTTCCTATTGAGGTAAGATCAATAAAGCAATTTTAACTGTTAATTAAAATGTTTATAGTTAGTCAAGTCTAAGACTGTAGTACTGGCGTTCCATGTAACTCTGAACTTATAGAATGTAGTCTGTAACTGACCGCCAGCTGTGGCCAAACACCTTCCTGGGTCTGGAAGAGCAGCACAGGCCACGGCGATTTCTGGTCTCTCTCTCTCTCTCCGCATTATCAGCTCTGCTTAGGAGCTCCCACATGCAGCATGCCGAGGCAGGGCACACATCTGTTTTATTCACTAATGTGCACCCAGAGCACAGAAATCACTCATTATATTGTTGAGCTGAGATGTCCTAATTTTACCTTGTTTTCTGGGTTTTTCGCTTGTGCAGTTGAATAAAGAATAAAGCAGTTATTACTACAAAAGACAATGTCCTTCTCCATTCTCTTGGTGCTCTCTCGGGAATCCTGAAAAACAAAGAGAAATGAATGGGGAATCCCAACAAGTAATAAAAACATCTACACACTTGATTTTTACTTTACGCTGAAAATGAGAAGGGCCCTGTCTTACAGTAAAAGGGCTTCTACACCCCAAGGATTAACATGATGTACAAAATACACTGTCCACTTCTCCCTGTCTGACCAAGGTGAGGGCCCTTATCCCAAGTGATGGGATGGTCTGCTGCTGCAATAGGGCTTCAAGCCCAAGCGTTCCTAACTCATCTGATCCCAACCACATCATGATGGACTCCTCCCCTCCTTGACAGACACATTCTCTGGAGGTGGCGATGGTTAGAAAACAACAATGCAGTACCTTGTTCATAAAAGCCAGATCTTTGAAAGACTTCCGCACACCACTTCCAAAAATAACCACTTTGCAGTGACAGCACCACTGTGGTCTGAGCGCCACTTTTCCTGCAGCACCATGACTGGAATCCTTGTATCCAGAGAGACCTACAGGCAACCAACCAGTTAGCAATGACACAGGTGGTGCTGATGTAACATTAGGTGGTAGTGTCCTACTACAACATGGCTCACTAAGTCATACTGTTCTTCAATTGATAAAGGTCTCCTTTAAGTGATGGCTGCAAGGGTCATTATGAAATAATGGGGTACCAAAAGCAATATGCCTTTCCTTAAACTGCTGGGAAAGTAATGCTAGTAAGAAAGAATCTTATTAAGCCCAAGTCACCGAAGCATATTAACAGTGGGGCCAAGAGCACAGGGATGGGGGGAGAGCTTGCTGTTGCTCCAGGACTCAGATAATACTAAAACATTCAATGAAAGATAAGAGAAACGGAAGTAAGACTTAAATAGTGGGGCTTAGAACATCACAGAGAAGTAAGTAAAGATCGCAGCCCAAGATAAATGTAGAAAATACAGGGCTTCCCCAGAGAGCATCACTCAGGCAGAGGGAAAGAGAGAAGGAAGGGGCAGGAAAAGCATGAGCAACAGAAGGAGCTAGAGGACCACACTTCAAAATTCCAACATCAACAACTACCCAGAGTTCAGAGGTGAGAAGTGAGAAGCTGCTAGATTCTAGAAGAGTAGAGAAAAAAAAGAGGATTATGAGGGAACTGGTGAGTAGGAGAAGGGTGAGGAAGTGGGGTTGCTCGGACAGCACAGGCGTGAGGGGCCAGTGAGGCACGTCAGCTTGAGGAAGGTAAGGTGACTCAGCATTAGGGGTATGAGAACCGCCCCCCGGGGGAAAGAGGCCGTGGGGAGGTGGTACAGGGGCACAGAGGGCAGAGGAGAACGAGAAGACAATACACACCAGGTAGCTAGCCTCATCTGCTCTTGGTGGAGCAGTCAGAGGCCCAGGCTCAGGCATGCTAAGGACAGAGCTGCTTTAGGGTAGCAAGGCAGGCAGACAGCTGCATTCCAACACTTCCGGGTCAGCAGCATGACAGGGCTTCCCAAAGCAAGGAAGGTCACATCAGTGCCACAGAAAACAGAGCACCCAGAGGAGCCTGGATTACCAAGGGTCACGTACGAACACACTGCTCACTACTCATTAAAAAAGAAATTGCAATTTCAAAAACAGTACGCTTAACTTTTGAATCAAGCATGGATTTGGGGTTAACAAAAACCTGCTAGCTCACCACTGCTTGCTGGAGGAAATGGAACACTAGGCTGCTTCAGCCGGTAAGAGCCTGCTAGCCTGGGAGGGTGTGCGGATCCTGGTGGAGGCCCTCGGAGGTGTAAGTGCGGCCGGTACTCCAGACCTGGGTTCCCTCTGTGGCTGCTAACTGAACCCACGGGTGGGACATCTGGAGCATTACTGACCTCATAGCTGTTAGGGGTTCGGACGCGAAGAAGGTCGGAAAATGCAGCCACAACACTGCTAATGTTCTAAAACAAAACACACACTCTGTTATCCACCCAGAAGCAAAGTGAGCCATGGAAGAGAAACACAGGCAGGATGAATCTACCTGCATGATACACACAGTGTGAGAAAACTCAACAACTTTTATTTAGCCTTTGAGATTTAGGAAATTTCTGTTTTAATGGGCAAATACGCAACTAAAGCCTTCATAACAGAAATCTGCAGAAAGACTCCCACTAACATTACACATCTGGGGACACATTCAACACACTGACATCAGGCAGGGTAAACACAACCACACAGGCTGAGCTGTCCCTGCCAGCTTTCACAGCCATAACGCTTACTCTGCAGGTTTCTAAGCCAGCTTTCACTAAAGGTCTGAAACTGTGCAAGAATGCACAAATGCCGTGCAACTGCTGTTTTCTGTGGACAATCAGGATGTCACATCACTGTACCATGAATTCCATCCCTAACGTTTTCTGAAGACTTCAAAGTTGAAAAAAATGCCCAGCAAATTATTAGTATTTTTGACATGAGCAGTCGGCGCCTGAAGAACATGTGTCATGCTTCTGTAATTCTTTTTGTTTCTTTTTTTTTCTTCTTAGAGACAGAGTCTTGCTGTGTAGTTCAGACTGGCCTTGAACTCACTATGTAGCTCAGGCTGACCCTGAACTCACAGTGATCCTCCTGCCTCAGCCTACCGAGAGCTGAGATTATAGGCGTGCACCATCATGCCCACAATGCTTCTGTAATTTTTATTGTTGATACTGCTCTTTCTCAGGGGTTAATTTTCTACAAGGTTACCAGTTATAGAAAGTTTTGTCTCTAAAGAGTTTTCTAATTACAAAAACTTATAAATAGGGAGAGGAAGAGGGGTTGAAGGGAAGGCAGGGAAAGGGGGGAAAAAAGAATCAAGATATATCACACAGGTACAAATCCCCCATAATGAAAGTGACCCTTATGTATACCTAAAATGTACTAATAAACTTAATTAATTAAAAAGGGTACTCTAGAATTAGTATATACCCTTTAATAAGAATGTGTGAGTGCTAACTTCTCTGTCTTGACTTAGCCTGAAATCAATCTCACGCTTAATGACACTATGCAAAAGCAGCCTCCACATCCCAAGCAACTATATCCATCCTACCCTAAACACAGCAGTCTGTGCTTCACTGTAAGCCACTGATAGCTCTAACAACACAACATACTCCACAGCATTAAGAAGTCACTTCATCTTTTACCTCAGCAGCGGTGGGATGCAGAGTAATTGCTACAGATATAAGACCCGATCTGGGGCCGTTTGGGGATGAACCGAAAGGTGCCGTGAAAAATAAAGTGCCTGGCTCAGTTTTGATGTCATTCATTCTTGATTCTGAACCTCAAAAAGGGAAAAAAAGAAAGGTGTGTTGATGGCTTTTCAAGGTCAAAATACTTGTATTAGTACACTGGCAGACTGTAAGACGACAGTAAGGCAAAGTGTTCTTACTCTTCCCGGTGGTGCTAGGAAGAATGGGAATGACAGGGGACGGCACTGGCTCCGGAGGCTCCTCTTTGACCACTGACAGATCTGGATACCTGCTCACTTCCACTCCAACCACACTCTCAGGAGAGGACGAGGGGACAAAGCTGTCAGGGGTGTCCCGGTCACCACAGTGGTCCTGTACCCTGGAAGAGGAGCACACACATAGCACACAAACCCACTGCAGGGGCTTTGGGCACCGACCACAGGAGTCCCCTATCATTAATGGAAGTAGCAAACGGATCAGCTGGAGACATCAGTAAATAGCAATCTCTTGGAGGAAATATAGTAATCAGACTTAGCTATAATAAAAATGGTTATGCTTCTTATGACCAAAGCTTTAGCATCGAAGTTTAAAGACCTCCTACAGAGGAAGCTCTTAGTTCATAAAACCTAGAAAGGATGAATACTAACATCTCTGCAAAATCACAGGCCACTCAGCCTAAAGGAAGCCAGCATCCTGCTGCTTGGACAGGAATGGCCTAGGCCTTAGACATACACCCCATATCACATCTGCATGCAACTGACTGTGAAACAGCTGTCCTGCTGCTGCTGCTGCTGCTTCGAATGAGTGGAAAGATGGGGAAATCTTGGTTATTGTGGCTTCCGAGACACCTGCTTTTCTCAACTGACTCTCAAGGGTGAGAAAGAGTGGTCCCTCTATCTAGTCCAAGGCTCAAGTTTAGTGGAGCAATGCTGAAGGCTCAGGCTAAAAGACGCAGATTATTCCCCTCAACTTGCTCATGCTGATGAGACCAGAAAGAGCGTCCTGTGCTATCCAGAGGCAGAACACACACCTGAGTTAGGTCACCAAACACAGTGAAGGGCTGCCTTCCCCAGCTGTTAGAAGAGCAATGCTCCCTGCTGATGCAATAGGGATTCTTAGCAGCAAGCAGAGAAGAAAACAGAGGACTTGATTCCAACCCTGGAGTAGCTGCTTTCAACTTGGTCCATAATTTTCTCATTGATAAAATACAGGACTTAGATTAATAAGTATAGCAGATTTTCCAAGGAGGAAGTCTACACAAACGGGTTACAAGTATCTGCATGGGAGCATCTTGCTCCCACAGCAGCACTCTGGCACCTAAGCCTGCTGTACTTTCCTTCTAGACCCCTACAAACATCAGTACACCCAACAAGTAACATTAACACTTCTGAAGGACAATGATCTTTAAAATATTTTGCATGGAGATTTTCTACTGTCTTAATGTCTGTTCTATCATCAGGTGATGAACTTGCTAAATTATACAGTATTTTTCAAAGGTACAAACTAATTATATTTAATAGTAACAAGGTTATAAAATTTACATTAAGACTATTACCAAATTTTACCTCTCAATGATTTTACACATTACTCCTACACACATTATGCTACCTACATTTAAAAATTACTAAAAACTATTTGAGAAAAAAGCAGCATCTACCTTAACTCTTCCTGGTTATTATGAGGTGGTGTTGGAAGCGAAGCTGGAACATCCACTGTCTTTGGGCCCTGAGCAATAGCTCTGGCCAGCAAGTCATCCTGTGGCCTGAATGGCAGCAGAAACGGCTTTGGTCCTAGAGTCTTGGTAACTGAAAAGCAAACAAACAGAATTAGACGTATGTTCAGCCGAAGCTGATAAGCAGGTAGAACCGGCAGCTCTAAGCCACTCTGCTTCACACACCTGGCAGAGGTACATGCCTCAAAAGTGTCAAATGTGGAGGCTATGATCATACCTTCCTGGCTCACCAACACTCCAGCTTTTCCAGCAAGTTCTTCAGTTGTCGCAAAACCATTTGCCATCTTCTGACAAGCCATAGGAGGTGGTGTAGGAGGAAGAGAGGCAGGGGGTGTTGGAGGATTACTTAAATTATTCTGCTGCAGGAGACCAAAAAATTTTAAATTATATGCTACTGAGCAAATATGCCATGACCTTGTAAAACCTAGTTCTGTGATTTTTTAGCACATGGAAGCAAGGCTATAGAAATGTAATTAAGATGCATCTTCATTCCCAAATGTATACCAAAAAGAAAGACATACATACAAGGCCAGAAGTTTTTAGAACTACTTATGACTTTGTTGATGTATTATTATCCAGTTGCTTACTTGACACTTAGCTTGAGTACTTAGCTTTCAAATGAAAATCAAATATTGTTATGCAACTCTTTTCAAGTTTTGCAGTTATAATAGCTAGTGAAAAATAGCTTTAAAATGCAATCAAATTGGTAAAAGTTCTCAAAAATTCCTTTATCCAATTCTCAGTAAGATAGCCCTCATTCTATGAAAAAGAATTTACAGTCCTAACCCTATAACTGCAATTCATGTCTCAGATATTAGAATCTGGACTGTTTGAGATGTCTAAAAGGAGTAAAAGGAGCAACAATAATATGAGAAGGACTCAACATACATATTAACAAATGTAGTTTCTTTGCAAACATCTCTCCTAGATTAAGATTCATCACAAATTTATCATGGACTTTGTCTCTCAAGGGATGCTGGAATCTACCACTACCACCATACAAATCCAATGCAAGGTGAAATTATAAGTCTTGCAAAGACAGTGGGGTTTCCTAAGGACAATGACCTGAAACTGAAGCACAGCTTGCACTGAGATGAGTTCCAACTGAAAATCAGCCCACAAGGACAAAAAAAAAGAACACGGAGAGAACTGTTTTCATATTAAAAGTCAGAAGAGAAGCCCTGAGGAAAACTGATGATACCCTCATATATTTCATAAAAATGATCTTTTTATATAAGTCAGATGCGAACTGAAGCGGTCTTACGATGTTATCACAAAACTTTATTAGGCAAGTAACACCAAAAGATAAACTTGATTTGGCTTTACTCTATTCCAGTAGTCTAGGAATTTGTGTATAATTGCAGTTAGCACCTAAATCGTTAAAACTTTTTAATGTCATTTTTCAAGGTAAAAGCCTAATTCTATTTTTCCTTCCCACAGTTTACTACGAATTTGGATATGCTGTAAGAGTTAGTAAAGGTTATAAAGGAACATGTATTTCCTTTATGATGGAAACATACAATGTGTCTTTCTCACAGTTTGTATTCTTACCTATAAGAGTTTCAAATGTTCATGTTAAAAATACTCCTTCAGGTAAAGCTTTACGCTTTTAGCTGAACTAAGTTTTAGTGAGATCCGGAAGCTTAGATGTATACTAGATGCAAAAGACATGCTCGACCAATTGTGACAAGGCATCCGGAGACAGAGCAATGGGACACCTGGCGGAGCAACATACCTTGTAGATCAACTGAGAATAGTAGTCCGAAACCCCTTCAAGGGTAGCACTGCCAAAAGTTCCTAGAAGTCGATTCCCACTATTAAATTGGCCACTGCCATAAGGAAGAAAGTGCGCAAAGTTCACTCCAATGATTGGTTCCATTAGAGGGAGCAGAGAGAGCTGCTATTAAAAAACACATTTAAAAGTAATGTACATGATAAACAAAACTGAGTGTCTCTCAACTTCCTAAGACCTGAAGCAACTTAAGCAAGATGTGAGAAACACAAGACTTAAAAATTTCACGTATCACAATGCTGGAGAGAGAGAAACTACAAAATCTCTTGAGCTATCGTCCCAGGAAGCTTCACTTCCATCTGTCCTAAAGGGATGCACCAGGCAACTCACAAGAAAAACACACTCCTCCTCTTTGTTTGGGAAGAACAAAGCATGTGCTGAGAGCAGACACCACGGACAGCAATTAGGGGCTATCTCTCCCTTCAGTAACAACACAAGGGTGCAAGAACAAAGTTGATGGAGATGACCTTGTGGCTTCATTTCTTTGCATCCAGAGTCACAAGAAATGGGGACAGTTTGTCCTGGTACTGAGGCTGCTCCTTTTAAGCTTCAGTAAATCTTGCCCATCGCCTACCAATTCATTCATAGTACTATAAACTTCAGGTGTCAATAGGATAAGGTGCAATTTTGCTGAGAAATGGGAAGTCTGTTAGTTTCCTTGTCCGTACGTCCTTTATCCCCTAACCTTCTAATCAGGAAATTATTACAATAAAGAGAAAGTTTCGGTTTTACGTGACTGAAGAAGCACTTGCTCTTACTTCCCGCAAGTTTTAAAAGGGCCATGTAAACAGCTTACCTGCTTCAGGTGGGTGAAGGAGTCAGAGCTGGGATACATCGCCTGTTTCTCATCTTCATCCTTTCTCCTTTTCTTTGAGCGAGGTGCTGCTTTCTCCCCAGTCCTCTGAGTCCTTTTATTTCGCTGTTTCTTGGTTTCACTTCCTCCATCCGTTTTTGGCTGGTTGTTGCCACATCCAAAACCACCTTGCATTTGAACCCCCAAAGTTTGCTAATATAATTGGAAAGATTAAGAAACAAGTGAACTATCCACATGTTTGATTCTTAGTTCATGCTAGAGCAGTGCATCCTATAACTCAGGATTCCTAACAGGGTACCAAAAGTTGAGAAGATGCACTGTAGAAGACTCTTGACTGTCTTCTGAAAATACTCTGCTCCCTTTTCAGGCATTATTTTCAAGTATGGAAACTAATCAGCTTCAGTGAAAGAGGAGAACTCCTAAGGATGAGTCTCAACCAGGACCCATCACGCTGCCAACACTGGATCCTGGAGATCCTAGCCTGCACAGTGGAGGAGGGGTATCCCTAGCCAGAGACGCCTCTGCACATGGCTTTGGTGATTTACTTTTGGTTCCCCATGAGAATGAGAACTGGCAAAACAGGACTGCTTAGTCAATTCACAGCTCCGGGAACACCTCAGCCGTGCATCTGAGGTGAGAAAATAGCCAGCCCAGAAACAAATAAAAAGAAGCTACATTGTTCCCTCATATTAGCTCACAATCTCACATTTGACTTTAAAATATTCATGTACTTAAAGTCAATGGGAAAGGAACAGATGACGAAAGATAAATCTTTACTTCTGTCTTTATGGTCAAGAAATGAGAATACACCAGGCCCTGAAAAGATTTTAAAGGTTAGTGCTATTGATACTAAAAACACAAGAATATTTTTCAGGCTCCATTATTACTAAAGTTACTATCAATGATTTGCTAGAGACAACTATAACTTCTAAATCTACTATGTAATCAATTCTGCACTGAACCTTTGGGGGTTTTGAAAATTATAGTTTCTAGTTGAATTCTAAATAACTCAGAGTTGTACATAAAGGGCAAATACAGTAACGATTCTAGCCTTGGGCCAACTAACCTTATACCACAAAAGTAGCCAGACAATTTCTAAATGAATGACTTTGGCTGCAATGCAATAAAACTTAAAATTCATAGAAATTCATATGAAATTCATAAATTCATATGAAATCATAAAATTCATATGCAATTTCAATTTCATGTAATTTTCACTGCGATATTACTCTTCTTTAAATTTTTTTCAACCAGTAAAAACCATTCTGAGCTTATACACAGAAGAACAGGGAGGCAGGCTCAGGCTTGTTCTTCCCAGGGCAAGCCCCAAAGTAGCTGTACCCAGGGCCTGGTAAGAAACCCACCTTAGATCCAACTGGACAGAGTGGGGGTGTGCCCCTAGATGGAGCTGGAACCTGCCCAGCAGGGGGGCACACGCAGTTCTGCAACCGTGCCCCCAACTTCCTGTGCATATGAATCACCTGGGGTCTGACTACGCCACACTTTCTGATCCTGATCCATTCTGACCTTGATCTGGCAAGTTTCTAGAGGCTCTAGATTCTGCATTTCTTAAAAAACCCTCCCACATGAGGCTATGGACCCCAGGAGCGCACTTTGAACAGGAAGGCCTAAGAATCTGTTAAGTGGCTTACAGAGATAATGAGGCAGCTGTATATTAAGTATGTATGGGTCAGGGACTTTAACTGCTTTAGAAACATTATCTCTAATTCTCACCAGTACCCTAAAAGGCAGATGTAATTACATTTCAAAGAGTATTTCATCATGGAACAGCACAAAAGATTAAAATCTGCCATAGACAAAAAGCTAACCTTTGAATGTATCTCTTTTCAATTATTTTAATCTATGCCCACACATACATACACACACACACACACTTTTTAAATCACAAGAGAACACAACCTTGCATTCTTTCATTTTGGTGCTGGCTTTTGACATGTGGCTCTCCCCATGCTGGCAGACATTCCGGTACAGCACACACTTTAGTGATAAGAGGCTCCAGCTGAGTCTGCCCTGCATAGAGCTTCGTGAGCAGTGCTGTGAGCACATGGCACCAGCATGTACTCAGAAGTGGCAGAGCTGAGGAAGGCATCTAGAAAACTGATTCCAGAACTGAGTTTCACACGACAAAGATACTGGCCAGAAAACAAGGGAGAACAGTGCCGGGAAAAATGGCAACATACAACTGTATGTGGAAGGGTGAACACGCTTGGGGACTGCAAACTTCCAAGTTCCTAGGTCAAAAGTTGCCCTGGACACAGTGGCCAGAGATTAGTCTGGGCAGATACCCAATTTGCCGGTGACAGGTATGACTGGAAAAGCAGAATTACCAAAACTTACAAAAGTCACACGGATCTCCTTGAGTCAAGGCTACAGAATGGGCAGAGACGAGATTATGCCAACAACTGCACAATGAAGCTTCCCAGATAATTTTAAAATTCCTAATCTGGACAACTAAGTACACTACCCCTATTCAATAAATATGAAAACGACAAAATCCAGCCTGAGAGGCACCCTAGGGAAACCTTTATAAATGTACTAGCAATGGCTCTGAACCTTTTTAAAGATAAGCAAAAGGAAGTTATCCAGCAGACCAATTTCCAGGACCCAGAAACCTGTTTTTAAAATACCTTAATGAAGTTAACTGAAACGGTGTGGGGTGAAAGGAATTTTTGTGACAGTATATTCACAAGTAAGCTCTTCATACAAATGAAGAAATAAAGACAGATTCAATGTTGATCATTTAGAAATGGGTAGAACATTATACACAGAAAACTGCAAAGATGAAACGTTAACTACATGTAAGGTTACATTTTTGTGTTGCAAGTACCAACATGTCGTGACCAAGAGACTCCCAGTGTGGATGATCCCTCGAGAATACTAACAGGGGTGCAGAACTGTTTTCTATATTTTAAAGAGATTAATGGAAATTGCACATTTCTTTACAATGAAGGTACACGCAACATTTACTTCCTCTGCTTTGTTTAGACCAAATCAGTGTGATAACCCACTGAAAGGTACATATTATATGTGAACTGCAATAACGTTTTTGCTTTTTAAAAATCAGTAAACAAATTATTCATTAATATAGTTTATGGATATAAGTAAAAACATAGGTTCCATGGAGAAAGAAGCAACAAAATAAAAATGCTCCTTCACAGTAGAAAGATTGCAAAATAGTTTTGAAGTAATTCAGCTGTTGGGACTAATCTGCTGTAAGTACAATTTAAAACAAAAGTAAGAGAGTCTTGAAGTTTCCATGATTCACACTTACCAATCCTTCTGCTGGGTTCTGCTTCTCGACTATTTTATTATCCTTTGTGCAGTTGTCCTCTGAACAGAAACTGCCCTCAGGTCTTTGATTTAAAAGGGAAGAGGACTTTTTATTTTTCAGTAAGTGTTTCAAAAGTTCATTCCCTGAATCTGCTTTGGTGACAGGGACCCCAACAGAATGGGGAGGACTCTGGACTGAGGAGACAGAACCAGCCTCAGACTTATCTTCTCCCTTACTACCAGTCTGCTCCTCTGATTTAGTCTCCTCCAGACCCGGGCCTGGCTCTGTCTCAGCATTTTCCAGTTTTAGCTCTTCACTTTTGGCAGGGGTTTCCACGGGGAGGTTTTCTGCCTCTGGATTTGCAGAAGCCTGCTGGTTTGGAGTTCCTTGGGAGAGATCACCACTAGGAAGTGTGTTCTCTAACTCTGTACAAGGCTGGCCAGCTGGCTCTGCAGGCTCCGAATCGCCCTGCAGAGGAGGGTCACTAGGCGTGTTCATGGTAGGAGTGGAGGTAGTTTCTGAGATGCTTGGAGTAGGAGGAGCAGTTATATCTGAGTGGGGAGTTGACGGTGCTTTGGTGGATTCTACATCATCCTCTTTTTTCTTTTTTCTTGTTCTTTTCTTTTTTCCTTTTTCTTCTGGGATGATATCAGAATACAACTGAATGAGAGACTGGGCTGACCCATAACTGTGTCCAAGGGCTACTGCAGGGTCTTGGCCACATGGGAGTTGACTGTTAGCTCCTGGGGGTGTTGCTGGCAAAGCGAGTGCATATGGAGGTCTTAAAGGAGACTGCTGGAAACCTGTCCCACAAAGATTTCCATGTCCCTGCTTAGCAGAATGGAAGTTTGGGCTTCCACCAGGGACAGATGGTGAATCGGGAACAAAGGAGGTAAGTGCCCCCTGCCTTCGGTCATTGGTTTGCATGAAAGCTTGGGTGGGAGATGAATTAACAGATCCTTGTTGTACATTTTGCTGCTGTAAAACCTGGGCCATCTGCTGTTGGTGCTGTGGAGACTGCTGCAGCGGTGGCGGAGGCTGCATGAAATCACAAGGCCGATCAGACCCATAGAACGGAATCTGAGACACAGCAGTTCTGCTGCCCAGCTCGGAGCCCATCAAGCTATGCTGCTCCATTTCCATCCTCTGCTGCAGAGCTCGCTGTCTGTCTACTTCTTGCATCAACTGGATGCGTTGTCTTTCTTGCTGTTCTCGTAAACGTTCCTTCCGTTCCCGTTCCTGGAAACTTTCACTAAAAGGGTTGTTGTCATCAAATTCTACTCGTGGTGGTGGACCACTCTGTGGGTTTGCATTTGACACTGTCCCTGGGGCTGGTGTGCAAGCTTTTATGGGTAACTGGGCAATCGGGGGCTGAATCCTGGGAGGATTCAGTGGGAGGTGAGCAGGAGCACTGGCAGACTGCCATCCAGGTAAACCGGGCATCCTAGCTGGGCTGGTGTGGCCAGAGATGACTGCCGTGTGCTGCTGGTGCTGCAGCTGCTGCGGCACCAATGGGAAGCTGGGCTGGTTCATAGCAGGTGGAGTGGCACCTGGAACAAGAGGCGGCTGGGGCTGGACGCCAGGCATTAGGAGAGGTGGGGCCATTGCACGCTGCTGCTGCTGCTGCTGCTGCTGCTGCTGCTGCTGCTGCTTGATCCGATAATCTTCAATCAACTCAGCATGCTCTTTCTGCTGTTTACGAATCTGGAACAACGACATTGCTGGTTTATATATAACACAGGTATTAAACCAAAAGTTCAGCTGATGCTTTTGCGGGGGTTATACAGAAATCAGTTAAGTGTATTATAGAGGAAAAAACAGTTTGAGGCAGTGGCAAAAATGACAAAAAAGTGCATTGATGAGCCTTAATTAATTCTCAACTAATTCATGTATGAAATATCAAAAACTCCCAAAATATTTTTCTTAAGTAAGTATTAAGGAAGTCTTATATGAAACACATCAAAAAGATAAAGCAAGAAACAAAGACTACACTGGAAGCAGCTAATTATGGTGCTCACTAAGTTACATTAATATACAATGTTGGGATAACTGAAATTTAACACAGTTTATTTAAACATAGTAAGATTTCATTTCTTTTGTTTGTTTGTTTGTTTGTTTTGTTTTGTTTTCCAGTACCGGGAATCGAACTCACGACCTTGCGCTTGCCAGGAAGGCGCTGTGCCACTGAGCTAAATCCCCAGCCCCTTCATTTCTTAAATATGTAAAACTGCACTTTTTTCTTTGAGGCAGGGTCTCACTATGCAGTCCAGGCTGGGCTTGAACTTAGTATGTCTCCTAGGCTAGCCTTGAACTCACAGCAATCCTCCTGGCCTTAGCCTCCCAGCTACTGGGATTATAGGCATGTGCCACCATATCCAGCCAAAATCACACATTTTCAAATAAAATTAGCCATTAGAAAAATTAGCCACTAGTTTTATGCTAGACCCTTACCCCATGGTAAAAAAAAAAAAATGACTAGATTTATAAAGCTCTTTGAATTTGATAGGTACCATACTCCTGTAACTTATAAAACTTATGCAACCTCTGAGGTAACATTTTAGTTTCTCAAAAAGCTCTTAATAAAATGCTGATGTCAATTAATTCATTCCAAAAACATCTGTGTCCCAGTACGCCAGACACTAGCACAGAATTAGTCAAGTGATCTGCATCTTCAGGACCTCACTGTCTCATTCAAGAAGCTGTACAAGGAAGCATGCAAAATGAGGTATATGTGTTCCAAAATCACTCATTTTTTGGGATAAATATACTAACATGTTGGACCTAGTAGTTTTAATGTATTTTTTTCAACCTCTTTTCCCAGCTTTCTCAGGCAGACTAACAGTGTGTTTTGTCACTTCTCCTAATCATCTTTTCTTACTTTTCCCAACCAGTTTGGTGCTGAGAACTCATGAGGCAGGTGAGAAGTACACAAAGCATCTACAACAGTATCTAAGCATCCAGCTGGTCATCCACACCTTTCCTGTGATGTTTCTGGTCATTTTTTTTTTTTTTTTTTTTGACTGGGAATCAAACTCAGGACCTTGCATTTGCCAGGCAGGCACTTGTGCTGCTGAGCTATAGACCTGGCCCTCTGGTCATTTTTAAAAACATTCCTGACAACTACTTTTCTCACTGATATTACACTGGGATTATAGGCAACTATATCCTAACAGAAAATATGTCCCATTTTCCAGTAAAGTGCCACATTAGGTTATAAGTAAGATTTGGTCTATGGATATGCAAAAACTAGGCTCTCATCCAACAGATCTTATACAAATACACCGAAGATAGTAAAGAGCTAAAAATGCTTTATAAAACTTTCTACTTCTAAAAGAAGTTTTGCTTGCAGTAAAGATACCCAGACAGTGAATTTAAAGAGAAAAGAAGCCTCTTGCTCTCAACTGGGCCTAGTTTTAAACAAGAGGTTATAATCACCTTCTGCTGGTATGTTACTTTGGTAGTGTGGCTTGTAGACAACACATCTGAGTTCAAATTCATCCTCTAATGGTTAGCAATGAGCAGATGCATCACCTGACTCCAGAACAGCCCACCCATTTGTTTGTACAATGCTGACAACATCAACTCCTTCAAACACGGTAGACCAGGTTAACTAGGACAAGACGTGTGATGCTTTCCAGAGTGGTCATTAGGCAGGGAACACTCCAACTTTTACTGAGCTAATCTACACTGAAACTCCTGCCTCTTTCTAGGATTTACATTGGGTTTCTTTTTAACATAAAAATTCTAATTGACAAAGGCTAAGTAAAATATTTGACAGGTCTATGAGCTATAACACACGTGGAAATTAGTGTAGCAAACATCACAGTCAAGAAAGACAAGCATAACATCACCCAAGATCATCCTTCAGAGCAATCTTTGTAGTCAGCCTTCCTCCTTCCTTCCTGACCCTGGGCCATCAATAATTTATTCATCTTTATTAGCTATCACTTCAGGAATGTTACGTAAATAGAATCAGTATATAAACCTTTTGAGATCAGCTTCTTTTACCCAGCAAAATGCTCTTGGGATCCAAGTTAGCTGTACATATGAATAGTTCATTCTTTTTTCTGGCTGTGTGGTATTCCCTTGTATGAGTATACCACACTTTCCAATTTTATAGACTGGGAGGTTTTTGTTTTTGAGATGGGGTCTTGCTGTGTTTCCTAGTGTGCTCTTAAACTCATGGGCTCAAAAAAATCTTCCAACCTCAGCCTTCCCAGTGGCTGGGACTACAGGCACTAGTTTTGAATAATGAGGACTAAAACTGCTGTAACCTTCATGTATAGGTTACATGAACCTAAGTTTTACACAAACTTAAGTCTTTTATACACCTGAATAAATACCTAGAAGTGTGCTCTGAACCATTTTGAACACTGCTTCATTTTCAAGAGAATTTTAAAATGTTCTTTCTTTTTCAATATAATTACTTACTTTGAACATTCTGAGAAACATCTGGTACTGTATATAGTGGATAACAGCAAAATGGTTGCACTTTTTAGGAATGAGTCCTTGACATAAGACACACTAACATATTAATAAGGCCAAAACAGTAAGAGATCTTGGGCAAGCCAGACTCTCACATGGCCTGGGACCACGGACTTTGCACAGTGACTTCTCAGCGTAGAGGGAAGATGCGATTTTGTCCTATGATACCAGGGTTGCTAAAGCATATGACTATTGTTCTCCTTTTTATTTATTCTTTGGTCTTTTTGAGACAAGAGTCTTGCTATGCAGTTCAGGCTGGCCCTGAGCACACTTTGTAGCCCAGGCTGGTCTTAAACTCACAACGATCCTCCTGCCTCAGCCTCTCGAGTGCTGGGATTACAGGCGTGCGCCACCATGCCCGGCTTTTCTTTTTTTTCTTTGACTATTGGTTCTCCTAAAGCAGGATTATGAGACTCAATCCCTTTGGTGGCCTCCAGACAGTTATGCACCTGATCGCCACTTGGAACAGGACTAGAGTGTTAGCTCTTTCGCCCTGGCAGCAGAGTACTTCTGCATGCATTGTAGCACTGGCCAAACTCTGGTGTCCTTCGTGAGTGACACACTGAACACTTCAACTGCTGCCTGCCTGTGTCCTGCACAGCCATCTCTTACCTGTTCCAGCTGTTTCTGAACCATGCTCTGTTGCTCAGTCACGTGCTTAAGCTGTTCTGCATCTTCCTCTGGGAATTCTCGCCCTGCCTTTTTGGCAGTGCGCTGTTTAGCTGAAAGGGCCTTCTTGGATTTTCTGTGTGCACCAATCTGTTCTTCAAGGTACTTCTGCTGCATCTGAAGAAGCTGCTGGGTCTCCTGAAGCCACTCTTCGTACTGCTTGCGTTGTGAGTCATCTGAGGGGGGAAAAATCAAAAATTCATCTGTGTTAATTTTCTGAATGGTCTGAGATTACTACAGAAATCCATTTTGTAAGGCAATACAATTTCACCATGATGTCTAATAGAAAACTTGAAAGCAAAATTCTAAACATCAGATCATATAACTATAAAGTAGCATATTTTAAAAAAACAAAGTCAGAGAGTGCATACTTAAGACACTGGTTAGCTTAATACCTATAAATACTAAAAATCTAACCTTTGAGAGGCGAAAGACTTTATTACGTCCACTTTACAGATTTTAAAGAGAGAAAGTAAGGCCTATCTGTTTCAGAGCATGGATTGGGTAATCATTTCCCATGCTAATTTCCCTCAGTTTATAAGGCTTTCCCAATTTCTCACTAGTGAAAAAACATGAAACAGAGGGAGGGAACCCAGTACATTTTAGAAAGAACCAGTTTGAAGTCTGGAAATTGTAAAGGAAATCTGTAGATTGAAACATTGGTAATTTTAATTAACTTTGCATTTGTGTTTCTATAAACAAGGGGAGGGAACGGTAACCCAATAAAATCTTCCCTGCTTCTAGACGGCCACACGTCTCCCCAGCCACATCCCCGTCTTGTGCCAATGCCCCCCTTACTTTCTAAGGGCACTCTACTCCTCTGACGCCAAGTCTACGAAAGGAGCCGTCGCATACAGTGAGAGATTCAGAGTATCCCTTTCTGACTACCACAAGACAAAGAAATAAACACACACAATCCTAGAAGGACATTAGCTGAAAATAACATCAATGATAACAGAATATCGTCATACATTAAGAATCCGACCAAAGCCAATGGGCACAATTAAGCCAGAAAAAGCCAGTTGGTTAGAGTAGTTTACTTATTTTTAATGCAAATATGTATTTCAAATTACAATTGTAATTAATGCAGGGGAATTTCAAAAGGTTACACTTTGGGTTTGTTCCTAAACCCAGAAGTTGCAGTACATGTATGAACTTGGAATCTAGTCTACTAAATTTGAAGGGCATTTTTCAAGAACAGGCTTTTTCACAAGGTTTCAGAAGTTCTGCTTCTGGTAGAATGAGACCTACCGCAAGGAAAGCCTTTCTGGTTTCTGGAACCAGGAGAGCAGAGGTGAGCAAAATGAAAGATAACGGTGAAAAAGTTAGCTAAACAGTCTGAAGATTTCAGAAAGGTTCAGTTCGGGGAGGACTTCAAATACTATCCTGAGCCACCGTGGGACCCCTGGGGATAACCAGAAGGGCTCAGCGGCACCCTGCACACCTGACCTTCACGCCATGCTGCAACCCAACTCCTTTGTTTCCCTTTGCTTTCCCACCTGGTGTCCTTGTCACTTAGACTGTTATGAGAGCAAGAAGTGGTTTGAGTCTATAGATCGTAGAGTGCCTAGTCTACAAACAAAAACAACAACTGTAATATTGAAGAGAATGGGGAAGATGAATTTTCTGTATTAAAATACAGATCTCTAATTCTTCATGCAGAGCGAAAAGAAGCAATGACAATACACATGCCTTGAAGAAAAGCTGCCTACCAGGGCAGGGACACTTGATGGGAGCAGGCACTCAGGCCTAAGGCAGCACTCCTGAGCTAGCTACGAGTGCACAGAACAACACAAGTACAGCCAAACACGATCCCCAGAAAACAGGTAACTTATTAGATTTATACTTACTGACAAAGCCTGGACCAAAATTTGGAGGATTAGGCCTAGAAATCTGATGTGTTATACTGCCATCCTAAAATAAGTAAAATTTACAAACATGTTTAATTCCACACTTCAGTTAAGGGAGAAAAATAATTTTAAAAGAAGAAAAGCAAAAAAGTAGAAAAAAAACTTTAATCAAGTTTTGACTTTATAAAGAGACTAAGTGATTAGTGGGTTGATAATCTAATTGATGACCATTTATTTCTATCTCTGAACTACATTTTAGGTGAAAAACATGTATGCTTGAGATAAAGAATTATTCATCTATTATATAATAGGAGGCCAAATCAAATGATATTAACACTAACCTAGAGGTGAAGAGTTGTTAATCTTAATTCCTTGACAAGCTCTTGTTAAAAATAATTCTGAAAAGCAGTTTACCCAATTGTTGCAAGTTCTGTTAGACATAAGCTGTACACAAGGTAACAGTTACAAACAATATTATCAGCCAGTGGGGCATGGTAGCACACAAATGCCTGTAATACCAGCACTAGGGAGGCTGAGGCAGGAGGCAGTGCTACATGATGATTTCAAGGCTTGCCTGAACTATATAGTGAGACTCTGTCTCAAAAGGAAAAAAACCAACAAAAACAACAACAAATACTATTACCCAGAGTGTATTATGTGCAATCTATATAATACTGCCGTCATTGGTGTAACATCTGGCCAATCAGAAAATAGAGGTTAAAGAACTTGCCCAAAGTTGCACAGTAAATTCACAGTAGAACTAGTTCTTTTTAAAACTCAGCTACAAAGACTGTATTTTCCCCAATGTATCAAATGGTGCCTCCCTTTTTAATAAGGAAAAAGATAATATTATTAGCATGTCTAAAGTTTAGCTGGCAGAGTAAAAGAAAATTTCAAAAGATATATAGTAGGTAGCTCTTTTTTCCTAGGGAGGTATTTTTTAAAATTCATTGTAAAAATATTGTATGAAAAGAACATTTCTATTTCCCCAGACATCGCTTGACATCAAGAATACAGCATAAATATTTATAGTACTTACAACGGTGAATAGGAAAAAAACTAAGTTATGCCAAATAATAGACTACACAAATCTAAAAAGAATAACTCTAACCATTAATTTCTACTGTATCTAGTAGTTTAATGAATTAATTCCAAAGTACAGAACATGAAATGTCTCTCTGGAGGATGAATGAATGAATGAATGAATGAATGAATGAATGAATGAATGAATGAAAAACCAAAAGCCTTAAGCATTTGGTTTCCCTCCAAGTGACTCTCTACCTTCAAGTGCACAGGTCGTTTTCAGGAATTATAGCCAATTTTTTTAGCTTCAATTTGCCTTTTGTTTAAAAAGCAATAAAGCGTCTTTACTTCTGCTGCACTGACAGTGTATTCTGGCAGGGTCCTGGGGCTGCTGCTCCTTCCTGTAAGGGGCCTCTCTACATGACTGGTTGGTGGGAAACAGGACAGCATGCCCAGGGTGACTGACAGGAGCAGTGTTACCTGAGCGACGGCCTGCGGCATGAGCGTCTGGCCTTCACTGTTCTGTGCTCCAGCCGCCATCGGGCCAATGAAGGGAAATCTGTGGGACAGAAGCCCAGAGTATCAGATGGCGAACATTTACAACCAAAACTACGTTAGGTGCCTAACAATTTTCTTTCCTAGGGAAGAGAAGAGCAGTAGCGGTGGCAATGCCTTCCTCATGGAGAACAGTCTGTAAAGCCTGCCCTCTATGGCAGACCTGCCTGTCCCCCTCCACGAAGTACACACTCTGGGCTGGCGCACAGTCACTCGGGCTGACAATGAGGATCGGAGGGATTAAGTAATTCTCTCCACAAACCCAGCAAGGCTATGATGAGAAGTCACTTCAGCTAACCTGCAAGGCTGGACTCATATCACTGACTGGACTTTACCGTGAAATAATTCAAGCCTCTAGGCTAAAAAAACAGTGAAGATTTAAAGCATCATTATGTAAACTAAAGAAACTGGAAGCTTAGTTATTTTACATTCTAAAAATGAAAGGTGTAACTCAAGAAGTCGCATACATCTATCTATTGAGGAAACAAATCCAAACTGGTGACTGCCCCAGCTGTACGGGTAAAATTATTTGGTGAAATGTTATTGATTTTAATTAATGCTATAGATAAACACTTCACAGAGCACTAGGGCTTATAGGAAGGTATTTCTTCTAGAGTCATCAAACGCTTCAACATACCAAGATATACATCCAACATAATTTCAAAATATATTCAAAATATTGTATAGCAGCATTTAAGCACTATTAGAGTTTAGGATATATGTTCTTAGTTTCTTATGCATGGGTGTGAGTCGTTTATTTCCCTCTGTTGCTATAGCTCTGGTCCGCAACTACTGTATTCCAATCTAGATGCCGCTCACTATTGCACTCAGAACGGACTACTGGTTCCCTTCAGTGACACACTCAGGGCGACCTGAAGGGACTGATACACCACTATACACCTAATGTCAGTGATATATACAACCTGTGAGTGTCAGGTGCTGGGAGCCATTATGAGCTAATAAAAATCATATTGATAGCTACTACTGAATACTATACAACAGAAAGGTCGGCTTGTAAAAACATCACAGTGTGTCCTTGTCCACCTTACCCACTGATCTGGCACCGTGTGCTGTGTGGCTCTTCCCCAAAGTCTAAATGACCCTGAATGGTAAGTGTTTTGAATTGATTCAGGACACTGAGGCAGCCAGTACGGCACAGCTAACGACATTCATGAAGGAGGTCTTCCAGATCTGCTTCAGAAAAGGGCAGGAATGATGGGCTAAGTGTGTCTCAAGTGAGGGGAGATGTCTGAGAGGGATTCATGGCAACATGTCTTTTCCTGTACTAAATTTTTAATATTTAAATATTCAGTATACCCTTATCACATCTCATATACCATTAATATTTTAATAACTATGTTTCAAATACAATTGATTTCTTTTGTACTATTATTTCATGCATGTAAAATACCCTGACAAGAATTCCCAATGTGAGGGGCTGGGGATTTAGCTCAGCGGCAAAAGCGCCTGCCTGGCAAGCGCAAGGTCGTGAGTTCGGTTCCCGGTACCGGAGAAAAACCAAAAAAAAAAAAAAAAAAGAATTCCCAATGTGTTACTGGAGTGCTAAAAAGCCTGCAGATATAAAAAGGTGAAGAGCCCTATGACACAGAAACAGTGCTAGTTAATGCTGCTCAGTAACGAAAATCATTAGAAACATTGTCTTTCTTGGTCTCAAAAGAGCTTCCTAACTATGTCCAGAGCATGTCAACCGTTGAAAAGGACTATGTGCTTAAGAATTCAAACTTCTCTAAAGTACACATTTATCTTAGCTCTACAGATTTTATAATCAATTCCGTAACTCACATTTCTATTCATTAAAAAATTCTTCCAACAACTTGATTACACTAAATTTAGGCTCCATGCTTACTGCATGGACAGAGGTTCTCAAATAACAGTTTACCTAAGAATCACTCATAGAGATCTCTAAAAATACAGATATGCAGACACTATTCCCACATGCTCTGTTTCAGTATGTCTCCAGTGGAGCTCAGAAACATGCATTAAATAAATGAACACCCAATTCCATAATCAAACTGAAGAAACACTTCCTTATGGTTAATACTCTTAGGAGTCATAATTACTCCTATTTCATAATTACTCAAATATGGCTAATAGCCTTCTTTAATGCATTTTTTCTATGCTCGGTGTGAAAACTTACAAATGCTCCACCTCCTACCATCCAACTGTCACCTTTTCTACTCCTCTTAACTTTACTTTCTGATCCATAATCAGTCTGGGAATATTTTGTTTTAGAAATGAATTCAGTTGCCTTAGTCACTACCTAGTATCTTACCTCAAATAATTTGTACCATTAACAATTACAAAAATAAAACACACACACTTACATGTCTATTTCCTGATTGACCAGAACAATTTTCCTTTATTATTAAGAGAATAATAACATGGTGTTTTGGGGCTGGGGATTTAGCTCAGCGGCAAAGCGCCTGCCTGGCAAGCGCAAGGTCGTGAGTTCGCTTCCCAGTACCGGAGAAAAACCAAAAAAAGACCAAACAAAAAAACGAACAAACAAACAAAAAAAAACCAAAAAAAAATAACATGGTGTTTTATTTGGTTTATTTTCACTTAAACTAAGGAACATTAATTTCTTACATTTGTGTCACACTCAACAACTGATCGTATCCAGTGAATAACACAACCAATCTAAATATTTACTGCTCACCTAGAATATAAATTGCACATTTCTGTAAGCCCTTTCTAGGCAGCAGTAATGGCTCATGCACATCTAGAGGCCCACTAAGAACGAAAGCACCCCACCTACCTGCTCATCACCATTGGTGGCATGCCCAGATTGTTCTGTGCCATCACTTTATTTATGCCTTTAAGGGCCACCATTTTGGCTTTCATTATAGGATCTGTAATTGCATCAAAATCTGAAGAGGAAATATATTTTAAAGTTACTTATTTCATCATAGTCGGTTTACAGTACACCACATAGTTTATGTATGGATCACAAACAATTTACAAACTCTTACACTGTATTATTCAATAATTGTTACAGATTTCTGTACTACATCAGGGAACCACAAGATGGTAACAACTTTATCCTCAATTTAATCTCAGAAATTCCTAATTGAAGCAGGCTTTTAATACTCAGTCTTACAATAATTAAAACAAAAGGTCTCTCTTTCACCCAAACTTATTCAATGCTAATCAGAATAGTTTCTTTAGCAACATAACAGCAGGAATGAGAATCTGCAGTTATTCCCAACACTCAGGAATTCCACTAAATTAGTTATCACTCACTCATTTATTCTCCTTAAACTTTGTTCTAATGGGTCCTAAAATTCTGTGGCAGATTTTTGGTCAAATTGTTTCGACTAAAAAGTGCTGATTTTAAAAACTAGTAACTTAAAAACTGCCCCCCGCAAAGGGTCCACAAAACACTTTTTTTCCTTTCTTTTTGCAGGTTTTACAATGCATTGTTATCATTAACCAGTCTTTCACTATTAAACTTAACGGTCTTCCACCACTGACTAAGACTGGAGTGGCAGGTGTTAGGGATAATATTCATTTAGCCTCCCGAGCTTTTTCTGGGCAGACTTGGTGACCTTGCCAGCTTCAGCAGCCTTCTTGTCCACTGCTTTGATGACACCCACAGCAACTGTCTGTCTCACATCATGAAGAGCAAAACGACCCAGAGATATCACTCTTTAAATGAAAAGTCACCAATTTCCTGAGGTATACTCCCAACAAGAAGGGTACTGAGAGGCTATTGAGAAACTATCTTGGCAAATAAAAGGGAGGAAAGTTCAATATGATGAAACTGGTAATATACAGATGAGAACATTCACTTCACTTAGAAGAACATTCTTCAAACGTGCCTTCTGACTGTTAATTCCTATGTTCAGAGGCACTGAAGAATTTTGACTGCTTGGCTTTTGTTGTTGTTTTTAAAATTTGCAAACCAATGGAATAAAAAAGCTTGTGTGGAAAAAAATGCCAAGTATTTGCAAAAAGCAAGTAAAGAACTGCAAGAAGCTTTACTTCTATCACAATTTTCTTAAATTTATCTTTCCATGACTGAAAATACAGAGACAAATGGTTGGTAGAGAGAACTAAAATGAAGGCTCTAGTTTCTATTAAACAAAAACAAATAATGGAATTGAATGAGTTTTGCAACTTACAGTTTTAAATCTCTTGATTTACCTAAAAGGAATCTAAAACTCTCAGTTTAAAGTTCCAGGAGGAACAGAAATATCTTATTAGTGCTCTATTCCAAAAATACTTTCAATACTGAATTCTTACAAGCATATTACATGTCACCATCAGGGCCACAGTACTCTATTAGAGACCCAAGAGAATTCCTACCAATATTGGGGAAGAATGGTTCTGATCGCTGACGAATCATGGCTTGCATCTGTCTTTGCTGCTGCTGTTCTTGCCTTTCTTGATCCAAAAGATCTTGTAGCAGCAGTGGCTGCTCTTCTAGAAGGAGGGGCCGCTCTCTGTTCTGCTGGGCTAACGTTTGAGGAGGGATCATCAGCTGCTGGGGTCCAGAGAGGCCACTGGTACCAGACTGACTTGTGAGAGGGACACTTTGATTTGTAGGCTTTCCTGTTCCCAAATTGTGGTTAACTGTTGACTGTCCCTGAATGAATCCTGGATTTACCTGCACACCCTGAGAAAAAGTATGGTTTACCCTAGGAACCACTGTGACATTAGAATTCACGGCATTGTCCAAGCCAGGGCCAGGTGGCGCCATTAAGGTAGAAGGCAAACTCGATACACGGCCAGATGGGGAGGCTGGCAGAGCTGGTGGGGGAGACACCAAAGGCCTATTGTCTGAACTGTCAGATTTTTCACTGGCAAGTAAACTTGAGAGGACTGGAGTTGACCCAGTTATGTCACAAGAGTTCACTACGTCCTGAGCAGGCAGCGGAGTGGAACCTTGAATGACATTTGCACTAGAGCCAGCCGTGTCTCTATTAGCTCTTTTCTCAAGTAAGTCTGGATCAGATGGTAGCAAAGAAGCCTTTTCCCCATCACTTAGGTCTGTGTGAGCAGAAGCCTGAGAGCAAGGAGGGTCAACATCATCTATACTCCCATTGCTTTTCTCAGTTTCGCATTTGGCTTCCTCTTTAGAATTTGGAGACAGGACCTCTGTTTTTATCTCATTGACAACAGTGGATTTTTTCTGCGATAAATCGTTCTCAGGGAGAACCGCCATTTTGTCTTCTTGCTCTTTTTTGGGGGGTTCAACAGATACACCCTGATTATCTAACTTATCATCAATTGGAACATTAAGGTCTAGTTCCTCATTAAACATGCTTTTCTTATCTCCCAGGTCAAGTTCTGGATCTGTGTATGCAATGATATCAAACTCTCCTGATCTTAAGAGGTCGTCTAGGTTAGGATCATTAGTTTCCAAATTATCTAAAGTATCTAACTCATCTCCCTTGCCATCATCTGTGTCTAAATTTAAATTTTCAAGATCTTCATCATCTAAGTCTTTGACTTCAACCCCCTCAAGGTCTTTCACATCCAGTTCTTTCACAGAAGGGTCATCAGAATCAAGTTTTTCTTCCAGACCATCAGAAGACTGGTTGGTTATCTGTAAATTATCAGATGCTGCTTCGGCTGGTGCAGATGCTGACAAAGGAACCTCAGAAAATCCACCACCTAAGGGATGATTCATCTGCCTCATGACCATAGAAGACCCATGGAGAGGATGGCCTTGCTCCCGCTGAGGTGATGGTACTTGTTCCAAATTTGGAGGCAAAGGGAGCTGGCTAGGTAGACCCTGGGGAGGCCGTCTCATGGGGTCTGTGTGCCTTGGGCCTGGAAAGTCTGACCGAGAAATGAAGTTTCCATGTCTTGGATGAGGAGCTGCCTCTATAACATTGCCAGAAGTCGAAGGGAAGGGCAGCCGTGGCCTTCCATCTGGGGCCCTGTGCCTCAGTTCAATAAATGCTTGGCCCAGTATGTTATGCTGCTGAACTGGCAGGCTCTGAGGCGGAAAGTGCTGAGGAAGTCCAACTGGATTATTCATCTGTGAGTTATTCAAAGGTCTAGGCATTTCTACAGACATTGATCTTCTCAGGTGTGGAGGAATTCCAGCTCCTTGTATCTGCTGAGGAGGCACAAGAAAGCGGTCCTGACCTGACATGGTACCATGACTACTTCCCGGAAATCCAAATCTAAAAACAGAAAGAGCAAACAGTCAAGTACTACGCTGAATTTAGAGTGAGGCTGAGAAAGGGAAGATGAGTTTTAGTTTAGATTATAAATAAAAAATTACGGTTGCCAAATACAAGGACTTAGGTAACACGAGCAAAGGAACAGCCTTTGGAATCAACTAGAAATAAGAAAAGTACTACAGTTTTAGAGTAAGGGTCCACTTCTTTTTTTCCTGTATTCAGGAACCCTGCATGGGGCAGGCTAATTTGGGGAATCCCTGAATGAAAAAGGAATCCTGTACATCTCAGTGCATGAGAAAAGGCACAAGGTGGTGGCTGGACAGATCACATGCTAGAAGGCAACAAGGACAGGTAGTTAGAAGAGATGAAGAGGAGCAGCCATCACCTGTAAGGATTAAGTACACAAATACGTTCCAGCGTGATGGTTATTTTTATATACCTCATTTTATGATTATGGGCAACTTATAAAGAAATATGCAATTATACTAATGTAGAAGAGAAAGGGAAAAATAAGGGTAAGAATGTAATGTAAGAAATACAGGTATAAGATTAAATCACATACCTTATAAAGAGTGTATTTTAAAGAATTCTCTCACTACAGTTAGGGAAAGTATGGCTTTGACCTTTCTAATAGCCATTTCAAAAAAAGAAATATGGTCTTAACACTGCTAACTTTACACCGTCGCTAACTTCACAATCTCATCCTGAAAACCTCCTAAAGGGAAACATCCTTTCCATTTGGAATGTTCCACAAATATTTTACAACTTAAAGAGCAGAATTTAGGGAGAAGTCAAGTTTTACCACAGGTGACTTTGCCTGTATGTGGTAGCTACATTCTGGAGAATGAGATTTGACTCACAGGATAAACCATGTCATTATGGCAGCCAATAATATAGATAACACTTAACAGCAAAAAGTATTCCTTTATAGTACTTAAGAGGCAGAAAAAAAAGTCTATGACCTATCATTAGTAGAAAATAGCATCCCAGGAGGAGGAAGAAGTACAAAACAGTATCAACTCTTTTCTTTTTCCTTTTTTTTGTCTTTTTGAGACAGGGTCTCGCTATGCAGTTCAGGTTGGCCTCGAGCTCACTTTGTAGCCCAGGCTGGTCTCCAACTCACAATGATCCTTCTGCCTCCAAGTGCTGAGATTCCGCCACGCCCAGTGTACTTTTTCATTAATAGTAACTGTCAGTTCCTTCCAACAGTTCCTGTCAGCAGCAATTTAATGGGATTTCCTGTGTCACCCTATGGGACAGTCATGCATGTACCACTAGTGACTCAGGGCCACCCAGAAGCGATTCTGACTCCTGTCACGAAATAAAAATAATTACCTAAATCCATGAGGTCTCATCCCCATGCCAGCCACATCAGGAGGATAGGGACCACGCTGATCTTTGGGGAAAACAGCGTATCTAGGTCCAAGAGGAGGGACCACGGGTGACCGGATGCTCCCAGGATAGGGAGGTGGAGGGCGACTGAAGGTCTGGTTGATGTTCTCCGGCTGCCAGTGTGGAAGGGGCACTGGGTGAGGCACTGCTGCTGTGTCCGGAGGCCCCTTTTCCTGTCGACTAGCAATCTTCTTCTGCTGCTGTTGCTGGAGAATGATTTCTCGTAGCTTCTGTCGCTACATGGAAAGAAACAAAAGTCACTGATTTCTGAGTACCAGTGGCTTTTTAAATCCTAATGAGCTCATTATATGGCTACCAGTAACGTTTAAAACGTCTACACCTTTCAAAATTTGATAAAATACTTCTCACATTTATCACAGTCACAATGACAGTGGGGCTGTAATTCACATGTCTCACTTCTAGGCTGCTCCAAACCCCTGGTGGTACCTGCATGACTGTCCCATCGGGTGACACAGGAAATCTAAGGCTGCCCGATGGGACAGTCATGCAAGTACCACCGGTGGTTTACACTGCTAGCAACCTGTTAACTACTTGATAAATTATACTTAAAAAATAACAATAAATGGAAGATAATGAAACTGAAAGCTCTCAGGATTCCCTAATGATTTCAAGATTAGAATTAGATAACGATTAAATCCAACTCAACTGGTATGAATTTTACCAGTTTTATTTTTCTTACTGCTTGATTAAATGAACAGCTCCCACGAATACCACACTTAAAGCATCTACACACAAGCTCTACGCTCACCTGCCTCAGTTTCTCTGTACCCGCCTGAGACATGTTCGCAGTGTTCTGGGTGTCAGCTCCTCCTGAAGTTGGCACAGGAACAGGAACCTGGGCAGTGCTGGAGAACTGTGGGCCCTGGGAACTCGTAGGAGAGTTTGCAGAGGTGCTGAAGCCCCCCTCTGGACCAGGCCCTGGCTGGTCAGGGACATCACGAGCAACTTGACTGCTTCCAAAAGAATCAGACTGAGGTCTTGGAGTCATTGGAGGCTGATCATAGGGATCACGAGCAGCAGATGAGGAAGCATGGCTGAATGTGTCTGAAAGGCTAGGCCCAGGCGGCCTAGGCGTCTGGGAGCACGTATCAGGTGGCCTCACCAAAGAGCCAGGTAAAGGAGGTGCTCGGTGCTGTGCTGCTTGCAAAAAAGGCTCCTGGTTTGGCACGAGGGCTGGTCTTGTACCTGACGACCTGGTAAAACCCTCGGAAATTCTTGGTCTTGGTGTTGCTGGTGGTTGAGAATAGGGAGTAGAAATTCCAGGTCTTGGAGTCCCAGGAGGATGAGAATATGGATCAGAGTGCCTCTGATTAGCTGCAGATGTAGCAAACATGTCTGTCTGAGTAGAAGGCCTGGGGGTTGGCGGCTGCTGACTATATGGATCAATACTGGTAGGCCGGGGAGTTCCAGGAGGTTGGGAATAAGGGTCCGGGTTGGATCGAGTTGTTCCCGAGGGCTGGGAATAAGAATCTACCACAGGTCGTGGTGTTCCTGGAGGTTGGGAATATGGATCCTGAGGTGCTGCCCTTGACAGGGTTCCAGGCTGAGAAAAAGCCCTTGAAGAATGGGCAAAAGATTCGTTCATTGTTGCACGTGGGACATGGGGAGACTGACTATAGGGATCACTTGACTGACTATGAGGAAAATTATCTACAGGTCTTGGTGTCAAGGAAGGCCTTTCGTAAGTGTCAGCAGACAGTCGCCTTGATGCCTGTGACATCGATCCATAAGGATCCTGAGAGGATGGGGGAGGGTGCAAAGGGGTCTTAAAAGGTCCAGAGCCACTATCGGCAGGGGCAGATGTCAACAAGGGTCGTGCATATGGGTCAGGTATCCGCTGTCTTTGAAAAGCATCTCCCCTAGGAGATGGTTTAGTAAAGTGATCACTGGTTCCAGCTGCTAGAGGACCTTTTGGAGTTTGTTCTGAAACCATAGGAGACCGGGGCAGGCCTAAAGGTTTGGGAAACTGATCTGTCATCGTAGGCCTAGGTGTATCTGGAGCCTTTGCATAGGGGTCATTATTTGTTGCAGAGGAAGAACATAAGTCTCTGACTGGGGATGGTCTGTTGGGTGGTGTCTCACTCAATTGAACGGGCCTTGGTACTGATGATAAGGGCACACAGTTTTCCACTGGAGCAACAGAATTTCTTCTGGAAAAACTATGGCCCCCAGGAGGGGGTCTGGGAGTACCAACCATCTTTGTATAAGGATCAACTGGAGATGGAGGTTGGGAACTAGAAGATCCAGGTGAAAACATCTGTGGAGAATGCGGTTGAGACATGTGAGACTGAGACAGGCCATCCTGAATGGGAACTCGGGATGGGGTAGGAGGAGGAGGTGGGGCCTGTGGCTTGACAAACACATCATCTGAAGGCGTGGAAGCTGGGGTACTGGGTAGCTGTTTCGAGAACAGGTCTTTATGGAATGTCTGAGCAGGAGACATATTTCCATTGGCAGGCTGGGGTGTCAAGGGACTCTGTACCCCACTACTCGGAGTATCTGAACCAGATGGCACAAGAAGGTGTTGAGCACCAAGCTGCTGCTGTTGCTGCTGCTGCTGTTGCTGCTGCTGCTGTTGCTGCTGCTGTTGTTGCTGCTGCTGCTGCTGCTGCTGCTCATTTTTCACCTGTTCTAGCTTCTGTGTAGCTTCGATCTTAGCTTGCTGCTTGCTTTTCTGACGCATTTGCTATTAAAATAGGAAAGAAAAGGCAATCATACGGTTAAGAAAGAAAATAACTATCATGGGGGCAAGGTCAACAGAAAATTAATTTGTTCGATTTCAGCAGGTACCAGATTACTCCCATATTATAATTATAAATTCCCCAAGAAGAGCAGTCATTATTCATCACAGTATCTCCATTTATGCCCAGGGCAGTGCTGTTCATTGTATTTTAATCAACTTTTCAAACCAATTTATTTTACAAGGGAAACAAGTCTACTGTAAGCCACTTTTTCATGTTCTATGAAGAACTATATTATTAAATGACATAAGTGCCCCCCTCTCAAAAAGCAAAAATGCAATTTAAAGGAGAAAATTACTGAAAAAACTTCATACCTGTCTAAATTTCCATTCTTGTTCATGTTCCGATTCTCTTTGCTTTAACGGATCTTTAAAAAGATCTGAATCAATTCGAGAGCTGGGATCGATGCTGTCTTGCTGCTGTTGCCTTTTCATGGAATCATTTGACATCTGGACTTTATTAATGCGTAAAGCAGCTCTGTTGTCTCTGGCTTTTTGCTTTGACAAAAAGAGAAAAAATTACCAGTTATTTTTGAATGTGTTTTAAAAATCAAAATAAAAGTATGGTGAACTTTGTCCTATAAAAGCAAGAAAATATCTAGGTTAAATAATTGAAAACAGTTGAAATATTACTGTTTAGAACTTATAACCTCTCGTAAACAAGGATCTGGACATTTGTTCACACTCTTTCAGCACATTTGTTCACACTCTTTCAGCATATGTCTGGCCACTGAGATACTTCTGTCTACTGAGGATGTTTCTATCTATATATCTGAATTTATGAGATCCCAGGTGCAGTCTAATTCTTAAATTCTAATTCTCTTAGTACATCCTTAGAAGGATGTATTAATGTTCCTCAACTTAGAGAAAAGGAAAACATTATACCAATTCTCAAGACAATAAACTGGACAACTGAAACTTACATTTAAAGAAAAAATCATTGAGAAACATTAAAAATATCCCTTTACTAAATTCATAGCAAAACAAAACAGCATACTGGCACACAAATATTATATACACATAAATATATACAAAGGATGGTCAAAATATGATGAATGTTCACATTTTTAAAGTTTTTTTTACAGTAAAAGACATGTTACCAAAAATTGTAAGTGCATCCAAAGTAAAGGAGACTATTTTAAATATTCTTCGGAACATTAATGGCAATGTGTCTTTCACTGTAGTAACTTTTTAAATTTAAACATTCACTGTATCTTTTGATCGCACATCATACATGCTTGCTCTCTAAATATGATTTAACCAAAGTAATCACTATAACTGAAAATTAGGTACAATGGAAATTCAGTGGAAAATAACTATGTAATTCTCAAAAAATAATGTAAATTTAGTGTGATTCAAAATGAAAGAATCTGATTCCATTCGACAACTGCTATGTGGGGAAAAATTCACTATTTGAACTGTGAATCTTACAAAATTCCCTAGTAATTTCTAGCCGGATCATGTTCTAAAAGTTCCTTAATGGAGTCCTTAATGTGTCTTTCAAGAGTCATAAAGATTCTTTAGTAAATCTTACAATAACAAATTTATTGTAGAAGAACCTGAGGCATTTAAAAATTCACTGTCCAAATTTAGTCATCTTTGCTGAAAAGACAAAATAATCTAAACTGGAATTAGACATGGCCCTAAAACTGATTTCAATACTCAGTATTCTGGTTTACTCACTAACGTATAAAAATAGTGCACTCTGTATCAAGATATAATGAGTCAGGGCATCACTACATAATGAAGCTACCTGTTAGTTGTGCAAATACCAACTAGCGTTCTCCACAAATAGGAAATCTTTGTATTAGCCTAAGGCAACAAAAGTAAGGTTCAACAATGTTTAAAGATTTAACACATAGGAGTTGTTTTAAATACCACATAGGGGGGCTGGGGATTTAGCTCAGTGGTACAGCACCTGCCTGGCAAGTGCAAGGTCATGAGTTTGATTCCCGGTACCAGGGGGAAAAAAGGGGGGGGGTGGAAATATAAAATAAATAAATACCACATAGGGTGCTCTTTCCTGAGAGCTTGCTTTTCTCCACAACTTAGCAATTTGTTTCACTCGAGTGGTCCAGTCTGCAAGAAAAAAACGGATATGCTTTCTTAGGCATGGTAACAATGTAACAGTAAATACAGACTAACATGCCAGTTATTTTTGGAGAGATCTTATTGTCATGATGTGGTAGGCTGGGCATCCCTAATACAGAAATTAGAACTCTGAAACATTCCCAAATTCACAAGTCTGTGCAACAGCAATTGCCACAAGTTGAAAACCCCACATCTGACCTTGTACTACAGGGCACACAAAAAATCAGGTACATTTAAAATGGGACAAGAGAGGAAGGAGACAAAAAAGAACTGAGATGTGTTATGTACATGTACAAATCTCTCCTGATAAACACAATCACTATGTACTACAAACAGTGTGAGTAAAAAGTTCAGTAATGAAAAAATATTGTATAAAATTATCTTCAAGCTATGTGTATGAGGTATAAATGAAACATAAATGAATTTTACATTAAAATTCAGATTCCAGCCGGGTGTGGTGGCACACACCTGAAATCCCAGCACTCAGGAGGCTGAGGCAGGAGGATCGTTCCAAGTTTGAGACCAGCCTGGGCTACACAGTGAGTTCAGGGCTAGCCTGAACTGCATAGTGAGACCCCCATCTCAAGAAGACCAAAAAAAAAAAAAGTGGATCCCATCCGGAAGATATCTCTGAGATAATCTCCTTATTTTGTACATATATGCAAACATTCCAAAACCTGAAAAACTCCTGGTTCCAAGTGTTTCAGATCAGGGATCCTCAGCCAGGAGTAATATTAAGTGGTTTAAATAGCACAACGTTCTTGCCACACAGGAGGTAAAACATTTTCTGAATGAGGTGTTGTCTTATGAACAACATAGCTTGTACAGCTGGGAAATTTTAAATTCAAGGAGTAAGCAGCCAAAACAATTTAAACCACATATGAGAAATCCCTGAAACTATATGAGATACTACCACAATCCAAGATTTGGTGATCTGCACTGAACAAAAGTCCATCAATTTGACCTCAAGGAAACAATCCCATTAAGTAAATAAGCATCTTACCACTAATGTATGCAACATGGAAAAACAATGATTTTAAAGTGTTCTACAAGATTTAGTGTCATGATGGTATATAAAATTTCCAAAAAGCCAGTGAAAATGAAAATCAAGTGACAGACCAACAGCCTTAACATAGTACTGTATTTCATAAGATGCTTGAACCACAAAGTAAAATTATTCAAGAAAATTTACATATATACAATGACGTGTATTTATGTATAATTTACTATAAGGACAACTTATGCTGACACAAAATGACAACCATATATGCTCATTTATAAACAATAATTGTAAGTGTGGTTTTTAAAAAAGCAGGTGAAGACTAGGAATACTGCTTTTAACAGGCATCCCTGCATTAAGCCACTGATTTCTATTACTAGGTATGCTAGCATCTAATTTACTTCTATACTTTACGTATAAAGTAACCAAGGGCATCAACACAAAAAGGTACCAAAATCAAGGGACCTCCGTATGCAAGCCTACTCGGAGGCACACCTCTCGTATCAGGGGAGAGCTTCTGTGTTGACAGAGGGCTACAAAACTACTACAAGCTGAATTTTAATAGCAATTTTAATCAGGGGTTGTCTGACAACATCAACTTGAAATAAAGCATTATTATTTGCAAATATTCACTAAGTATCAATTCTTTAATCCAAAAGTGTCATCTCTGGTTAGTTACAATTTCACAAGCACTACTACCCCATCAAGTGCTGCTTCCACACACGCAGAGAAGACAGGGAGATGTCAGGGTGGAGAGAAGACAGCCAGTTTTAGTGCCAATCACTTGGAACTGACTCTGCTTTAGCTTTACACTGTCAATTAAATGACAAGTTTATGTTCTAGATATTTTTTAAAGAACTGTGCAGCACATTTTTGTAAGCACTGCCAAGGATGCAGAAAATTGATAATTTTATTACTTGAAACAAAGTTTTAGAAATATGCAAATAAGTGTGAGGGCTAGGACTAAGAAAATGCAAACTGTTTCTAGATACATAGAGAACCTTCACTTTGTGAAGAGTCGATAAGAGCAGATGAAACTGCAGCTTAAAAAAATCAGTCATTACACGTGAGAAAAATGTTAGTACGACAGATAGATAATAGCTTGGCATGGTGGCACAGGCCTGTAACCTCAGTACTTGGGAGGCTAAGTCAGGAGGGTCACCTTAAGTTAAAGAGACCAGCCGAGGCCACACAGTGAGTTCAAGGCCACCCTGAACTACATAGCAAGACCTCATCTCAAAAAACAAAACAAAACAGATAATAATACATCCATGACTTACCAGGGAATTCATCCTTTAAATTGGGGAAATTAATATTTGTGTAAAGAACAGGTGCTACAGTGGCCATTTCACCCAGAGCCTCCTCTTTCTCCCACTTCAGCGTGCTCCGTTGGGCGTTTGACATTGTATCATTTTCTCCTTCCACAGTGGGAGCTGATGGTGTCCAGGAGCTATGAGGATCGCTTGCGATTGTATTAAATGCTGGGTTTTTATCCCTGGCAAAAAATGAACACTGTCACTACATAAACAAAAGTAATTTTCTTTTTTTGTCTTTAGGGACAGGGTGTCGCTATGTAGTTCAGACTGGCCTTGAGCTCACTTTGTAGCCTAGGCTGGTCTTGAACTTGCAATGATCCTCCTTGTCTCAGCCTCCCGAGTACTAGGATTACAGGCATGCACCACAACGCCTGGCTAAAAGTAACTTTCTTATACTAAGTGGTTAAAAGTAATATTTGACCACTTTTAGCAAAAAACTGTAAATACACACAAGTAATTTTAAAAGACTAAGAGTACAAATTAGTACAAATTAAATCTTAGTATAAATTCAGGCTTTTTAATACCTGGCATCAGAATAGTGGGGCTGTGCTATAGCTGAGAATGTTCCCAATCCACTTCCAGGAGGCAAAGAATTATGTGGCAGATGAGAACTGGGTCCAATAAGGCCATTCATGAGTGGCATTCGTGAAAAAACATCTGAAGAGAACAAAGGGTCAATGAGTTTGCACATTATTCATAAATAACAGATAGCTGAAATACTCTAAATAAAAACTTTCAATGCTATTTAAAAGGATTTTTTCAGTACTATACTTTAGAATAATACTTGCAGGGTGACTTGTTATGAATTTTGAAATACGGTCTCTATAATTGTTTAACTATGACACAGTGGAAATCACTTTGGCATTCAACAAACAGCCTAGGGTCTGAATCTTACTTTGAGTTGATTTCTATGTGATCTTGTAAAATGAAGGTATTATTATATGAACTGAAATAATGTGTGCATTACACTAAGCATATTGCCTGATATACAGTAAATATTCACTATGTATTAACTTTACAAAAAGAATGAATCAGCTTTTTCTTAATTTTCATTACTGGCAGGTCAGCCCCTAAAAGTGTAAAATCTCCTTCAACTTATTTATGAGCTTTAAATACGTTCTTCTCTAAATACGTGTTAGGCAAATACTAAGACTAACTCATGTTTTCCCACCACTCCTCAAGTGTGTAGCTCCAGTACTCACTGAGATCACCTAATTGTCTAAGCTATTTGGAAATAAACTGTCCCTATTAAAGCAGCTTTCGGGGGGCGGGGAATCAAAAAGAAACTTTTTGTGCACTTTCAAAGAACTCTCCTTTGTTTGTTTGTTTTTGGTTTTATTCCAGGACTGGGAATCAAACTCACAACCTTGTGCTTGCCAGGCAGGCGCTGTGCCACTGAGCTAAATCCCCAGCCCCTTCCCTTGTAAACATGATTTATGAAAACATTCTAATGTGTAACTCTTACAACTTAGATTAGCGTTATTATAGGAGACTGCTATCACCAACTAAAGATACAAAGCAGCATACGGGCAGGGTATACAGCGATCTATACTTGGGATAAGGGCAGCAAGCCTCTAACACGATTACTTTGCTCTACTACTGGATAAAAAGAAAAATCAAGAGCTATGTCTCATACATGTAATGTTCCCCAATGCATAATGTCCATTCCTGTAATCAGATCATCTGAATGTTATAACATGAATGTGCACAAGGCTCCAATGTGTATGAGGAAAGTGAAGTTATTCACAGATATGTTTTCGGGATTTTGTCTTAAGGACCTCCAAGATAGGTCTTATCCTACTAAACACCAGAGCTGGACTCACTAGATCAGTATTTCACAATGACAAATTTCTCATTACACGTAAGTTTCCTGGAAGGATTATTGGGTAAGGTTTCTGTTGCATCTTTCTTGCGGGGAGGGGGATAACTGGGGATTGAACCCAGGGCCATTGCTATAATTGAACTACATCTGCAAGTATCCCCCAGCCCCTCTTAAGACAGGGTCCTGCTAAATCACCAATTAGCCACACTAGGTTCAAACTTGGAATCCTCCTGCCTCAGTCTCCCAATGCACTGGAATTACAGGCATGCACCACCACACCCTGCTAAGATTTCTGCATTTATTCAAAACAGAATGAGACATCTACTTTCAACTTCAGTGAGAAGTGGGTTCCATAAAGGAATCTAAGGTCTTAGTGATAAGTACCAAATGCCTTTTCTGTAAATGAAAGCGTCTTCATTTGGCAAAGAAAACCATCATCTGTCCCAGAGCTATCAGCACTACCTGCCATAACCACATCATTACCAAAACTTTTTCCTAAAGACAATAATGTAACTGTTGCTTACTAAGTACTACACCATATGTCAGCATTATTCTAAAGGCTTTACATGGATTAACTTTGCATACTCACAACAGTAAAACAGAAAACAGTTCACCCATTTAAGAAAGAAGACCCAGAGAAATTGAACACCATGGTCAAGGACAGAGAAGTGACATAAAAAGCATTTTTCCTTCATTATTAATTTAAGAGGTAGTTTTTTATCTTCAAGCCTATCTTAGTTATCCAATTAGTCATACCAGTTGCAACATTTTGGAGGCATGTCTCATAGTGAGAATTGAAATGTTACTTCATTCAACTCACCTAAAGGGACATCACATCACATTATCTCAATCTTTGTGAAATTTCCCTTCTGCTCTCTGACCTGTGTGCTAGTGCCAATGCACCACAATCAGCTCTGTGCTGACACTTCTGCTGGAGTTACTCCTCCAAGCGTCACCAACAGCCTTCCACTGTGCACGGCAATGGCCCCTTCTGAATACTGTACTCATTCACCCATTTCACTCTGCAACCTGTCCCTAATGACCACCATTTCCAAAAACTTCTCACTCAAGTGTCTCAGGCTAATTTTTTTTCACTTTCATTTAACCTTTGAAAAGGGGAAAGATAAAGACTATAAAATCACACACCTAATATAAAGCAGATGAGCCAGGGACACATTTAATTACATCTAGTTAAAGACTTACTCCAGATTCTCTACCACTGGAGGTATAGTCCCTGAAAAAACACCTCATCCTTCCCATGTCAATCAGCACCATTACACACAGAAGTCCTACATGTCTACAGACTTGCCTAAGTGCAACTGCAGGTAGGCCACAACAGGCTGTATGTCCCATTTCTACCAAATGAAAGCCAGTCTAAAACTAAGCTCATTATATCTCTGCTACCTTCTAAAGATACACAGCAAGCCTTCCATTGTTCCTTGTTTTTAGTTTAGGGTATGATGATCCTCCAGGCAAACTCGGCTTTAGGTAAGCTTAGTTCATTTTATTCTCCCTTTCTCCTTCCTTACATTCATTCACTCAGTAGTATTACCCTATTTATTCTTAACTTTCATATCTATTTTCCCTTTTGATTAGCACTTCAGTATCTTTACATATAATCTACATTTTAACTGAATCCCAGCCACAAAACCTTGTTACTACAATTCCTCTTGTCCAAAATCCATTTCTAGCTGGGGAGATAGCTCAGTGGGTAAAGCACCTGTCTAGTGTGCACAAGGCCCTAAGTTCAATCCCCAGTTCCAGCCAAAATCCATTTCTAATACTGACAAGAGAGCTACTCTGCCACAGACATAACTAATCAGGTCATTCCATTGGCACAGGGCATTCAATGGTTTGTAGAAGCCTTTAAGAAAAGGCTAAATGCTTGTCTCGTTTTCCTAGCTGTCTATAATTTAGTGTCAACACTTCCAGTTTGCCCCCTTAAACACAACTTCCTCATTTTTTCCTTCATGCTCAGAAAATGTAGAGGTTGCCATTTTTGAATACCTTACTGTCACCCTACATATAACTTGATTATGTTTAACCCTTAAATATTTTCTTTAAAGTATAAACACTGAAATCCCAGCAATTGTACACACACGCACACACACACGTTTTCTATCTGTAAATGACTGAATGTCTACACATGTGGAATCTACAGACACAGGGGGCTGACATAGGCACACATTTCTACACACACAGATAACAGATTCTTAAAGCTCTACTTGAGTCATACCCTAAGTCAGTTGTATAAATGAAAGTCTAAAATACTAGGGTTACAACCTTGTGAGGGTAAGCAGCCTTATTAGTTATCTTGTACTGCAAATTTAGCACCTAGCTAAAAAAAATCTTTCTAAAATTGAGGCCAAGCCTAATGGAAATTCCCGTGGTCCCAGGAATAAAGAGGTTAAGGCAGGAGGACTGCCATGAGTTTAAGGCCAGCATGTGCTACACAGTGAATTCAAGGCCACCCTGAACTACATAAGATGACCCTGTCTCAAAAAAAAAAAAAAAAATCACAAAAAAAACAAATCAAAACCGGGTGGGCGTGGGGGAGGACCACAGTGAGGTGATTTTCATAATGACTTCAGAGCTTGTATAAAGGAACACATCTTTAACCAATTCAGTTTCTAAAATATGTAACTTTAGTTACAGAAAACATGAAGATAAACCATTTTTATTTGCTAAAGAATTTTTAATTATTAAAAAAAAGATGGGAGTAATTAAGACAAGGAACATTCATGGCATGTATTTTAACCAAATGTAAACCCCATGTTTAGTCTAGCAACCATCAAACTAGTGGCAAAACTAGTAGAAAATCAAACATCTAAATTATATGAATTTTGGAATTTTTTATGCCCACGCAGAACTGGTAAAGACATTATCTGAATATTTAATCACTAAGGATAAGAGCGTATAAAGATATCATTATTCAATTAAACATATATTCATAAAGCCATGACAATGAGACATAGAGAAATGGTTTTATGCTCAAATTATCAAAAATATATGCCACCATAGAATTACAAACTCCAGCCGGGCATGGTGACACACACCTGTAATCTCAATACACATGAGGCTGAGGCAGGAGGATCCAGGAGTTCTAGGCCAGCCTAGGATACAAAATGAGCTCAAGGCCAGCCTGAACTACACAGTGAGACCCTGTCTCAAAAAAACAAAAAAAAAGCCAGAATTACAAACTCCATTCTAAAGAAGATTCCTGGATTTGTAGAACTCAAGCTATACCTTCGGATCTTAATTCTAGGCTATGAGATTTCAGCTCTCCAGGAAGAGAGAGAAAACTGAAGTCCTTAACCTATGGTACAACTAGTTACAAGTAGGTAGAAAAACAACTGATCCAAAGAAAGAGACAAATTTCCACAAAATTCCTTCAAAGCCCAAAATTGGGACTTGGTCACTGGTTTATTCTGCATATATGTACTAAATACATATTCTTAAGCCAAGCATATAGCAATGAATGAGACACAGGTGTTCTCAATAGAGAAGACCTTAACTCCCCCAGAGATATTGATATTTGTGGCCCAGGTTACAAGTGAAAGAGTACAGGACAGGCGTGGAGAGTTGGCTGGCTAACCGCTGAGGAAAGGGCAGTGAAGCAGAACAGATCACTTTGTGAAAGGCAGGCAGGGGACAGTGAGGTCTGGTGCTCCAAAAGAGCAGTCACCGTGCAGGAATGACCACATGGCTGAAGTCAGCTGGAGCTGGGACTCAGGGAAGGGGCAGGGTAAGTGTGCAGAGCAGAGCTGTCACAAGATGAACTGCGGACTGCAGGCAACTTCAGGGAAGGAGACAGGTGACTGAAGCTAGTATTTCTCCATCATCACAACCAAGTGTCCTCTGTTCATCTGCATTCAGTGGCGACTATGAGTGCTGAAGAATAAGGCAAAACTCCCGTGGGTGCACATGTGTGTGTGTCTGCGATACAGAACAACACTCAGAAAAGTAGTAACATACCCGGGTTGTGCACTGGTAACAGCTGTGGTGGGGGTGGCTGTGGTAATGGAGCTGGCTGTGTGCTCACAGGACTCAGCACAGCAGTGAACAAGTCTTCAACATCCTTTCCTCCCAGCTCTATGAGGGAAAACAAGAACAGTAGCAAGATTAATCAACTATTAAGGTCACAGCAGAGGGAATCTCATTTTTATAGATTAAATATTCAGAACACAAATACCTGGAATTTTATACAACTTGCCAAGAATTGCTCCTAGGACAAAAGAAATACGAATATCAACAACTACCAATTCAACATATTATCTAAAAAAAGCACTCAATAAAGAAATTGTGAAAACAGAAGTCGAGTCATAAGTAAGCATGCAGGAATCTTTGAAAGTCGTATTTACTCATGTCTTTTAGAAACCCTAGATGCAGGGCAGATATTTTACCATCTGTAACCATTTTGTCTAACTCAGGACTGAGGATCCCATCAAGCTGCTCCTCAGTTAATGGTCGTGAAGTCTGACTGACACTTGGCTGAGGCAAAGAGGAAGGGTCATCAGCAACGGGACCAATATCTGGAAGAGCAAGGTAAACAAATGAAATGGTGAGTTCAGGACACACGCGAAATGTGTGTGCTGTCTGTGTGCACTAGCGTACAACAGCTCAACTAAAGTAAGTGAAGTCTCTAGTGCTGACTTCAGCAGGATTCTTCCAGCCATCCGGATGGCCCACCAGCAAAAACTAGGTTCCTTGTACTTGGGAATCTACACACCAGCTAAAGCTATCTTGTAATTAAAGTAAACACATTTCCCAGAGAAACATATCAGATTTAACTTAGCAATTTCTGCCAAAAGGAAACCCCAAATTAAGAGAGGAGTCTCTAAGAAGTCATTATATAAATGTTTTAACTTAGAAAATACTGGCATCAAATGTACATTCAGTTATGAGGTACAATATGCAAAACAGCAGAGAGAAATTTCATACAAATGAAAAGCTCTAAATTCTCTATGGTTTAATAATCATTACCCCTTTGTAAATAATTTTAAGGTTTTTAGTACTCAGTAATCACGTTCTGAAAATGTAGATTATGTTTATAAGTGACGCCCCTTATCTCACACATGCTAGTATTTTCGGCAATAGTCACATGTGAAAGTTGTCTATCTACACTTTTTCATGCTTTCTTAGTATTATTGCCTTTAAAAGCAGAATTGCCTTTAAAAGCAAAATTATTGCCTTTTCTGTTCTTATTTGATCTTATATTAGCAACTAGCTCTAACATTTAAGTAATATTATAAATTATATATTAATAAGCATGAAGCCATCTGTTTAAAAATACTACTAAGAAAATCACCCAAAGCACAGTACAGCAACACTATGCATTAGCTGTACAGAAAAAGGGAAAAGCGAAGTATGGATTAGTAACAAATTAGCACTACTAACAAATACGCATGCACCTATAGGTTGTTTCAGCTGAAGTCACTATGAAAAAGACTACTTCTAACCAGCGGCCATCCATTGCTCAGTTTCTTACCAAACAGGAAAGGTGAGCTCTCAACCTGGAAAGTGCATAAATCAAGACCTACGAGACCCAAACCAAATAAAACGGATGATTACACAGGAGCAAGAAGGGTGGGAGATGCAAACAAGAGGTAAGGTACAGCAAGACTCTAAGGCAGCACGCCTAAATCTAGTGCAATTAGAAAGCCAACGGAAAGAACTAACTTGCTATATACAACCCCTCCGAAAGCAGAAAAACCAAGGTAGATCCATGAAAAGAAAAATGGTGGCCTCTTTGCCAAAGTCAAAGCACAAAACAAAAAGCCACTTCATCACTGTAAACATACTAAAGATGGAATGTGCTCTGCAAACATGTGCCTCTCACATGACAACAGCAAGCAGGCGAACAGCGCTCATCTATACCTGAATGATCAACCGATTTGGCTAGGTCATCGGAGATTATCCCAAGAATGTCATCATCTGTATTCAAGACTTCAGAAATATCAGCTAACGGGTCATCAGCAGTACCTAAACATAGCAAGTATAGTTTTAAATTTTCAACATTTTCCTAAACATTAAACTCTAAAAAGCCCTAAGCCAAACAATTAATAAAATATTTAAGATCACAGCAGATACCAATGATAAAAACTTAGTTTTACTTCTAAAGTTAGGCATTTTCATGGCACAGGCACAGGTTTTAAACAACAAAAACGTTAAAAATTTAGATTATGTTTTGTGACTGATGAATACTGACAAAACAAAATTTAAAGTAAAGACCTGTAGGCCATAAAGTGAAGTAGAATGCTGTAAGAAACAAAGGAAAAAATTTTTCATTAGAGAAGTGGCATCTCTAAAATGACATGCAGAAAATAAAACACAGAAGTTAATAAAGTATGAAAAAAGCTTTATTTTGAAATTCCTTGTTAAGTGTAAGCCAGGTACCAGACTACTTCTGGCTCTGCTCTTCATAGTAATTACTCATTCACTCATTTATATACATACTTTCAGTACCAACAGGAATATGCTATGGATTATTTATCTGAATAAAACATCAGTGATAAACAGAAAGGTCTGGCCCTCAGGGACTCTCACACAGAGAGAGACACAGTAATCAGATGACAGCACTAAAATGAAAATAAAAAATGGTCAACATAAACTATGGGGATGCTGCACTTCATAAAGCAGTCAGGAAAGACCTTCTCAAAGAGACTAAGCAGAGATCTAAATGAAATGAAGAGGTACTGCACACCAAGATGCAGAAAATCCTCCAAGTAAAGGTGAAGCTGCTGTAAAGGCCCTGGGCAGAGAGAGTCTGACCACACAGGAGATCAGAGTGGCCAAAGTAGTGGGAAAAGAGAGTGAGGAAACCAAAGCCAAAGTGGCTGGCTTGGGATGTACCCTCAAGGTGGAGCGAAACCTGGACAGGTGAGATGCGGGATGCAAGAGAATGAGAAGACAAGGAAGATGCTAAGGGGCTTGGGCCTAACCCAGCAGGAAAGGGTTAGAACTCTTAGGCTAACTTCTAGTAATTATATTAGTCATCAATTAAAAAACACTTGAGATTTCTAATCCACTTCAATTGCTTTTTTTACCTAAGAAAAACAGAAGGGGAATGGACATTTAAATACTGATCAAGTATCTCTATGAAACAAAGAATCCTGGTGGTATTAAATATATACTTCTCAAAAACATTCATACAAGCTGGGTGCGCACGTGTAATCCCAGTACTAGGGAGGCTGAGGCAGGAGGATTACTGTGAGCTCAAGATCAGCCTGGGCTACATAGAGTTCAAGGCCACTCCGCATTACAAAGCGAGACCCTGTCTCAAAAATTCAAAGTGAAAAAGAAAAAAAAAATCATGGTAATTTTTCAAATTAAAATGTAACATAAATTTTGTATACCCAAATATTCAGAAAATTCTTTAAAGAGATAAAATTATTTCACTGATGTATTCTCTAGATAATAGTATTTTTGAAAGAAATTATGGACAGTTCTCAAGGGAGCCACTTAATGTTTGTGTTTGTTTTACAGTAATGTAATTCTACTACATAAATTATAACATTTTTAGAAAGGTTCTGTTTAAAAAGTATGTCCTTACCTAAAGTAGTATGTTTTATACTTTACAACAAATCACTAAAATTTGTTTGATGGACTACACTGAATGAGTAAAAAGAAAAAATATTATTAATCTTCCATTATAAAGGCAAACAGTAGGTCAACTAATTACATTTAATTTCGGTTAGGTTTTGAAATGTGTGCTACTCCCCTCCACCACGTTCTGGTATTACAGTAAAAGCACTATTTCTTTAGCAGTTTTGTGGGACAAACAATCAAATAAAGTAAAAAGAAAAAAAAACTATCAGTGTCTTTTCTATCACTGTAAGTTCTCGTCCAATTACAAACCTTTTCCTTATTATTTTGGTAGTACTAGGGACTGGACTTAGGCCTTCTCATTGAGCCATATCCCCAGTCCTTTTTTCTTATTTTGATACAAGGTCTTGCTAAATTGTCCAAGCTGAGCTCAAATTTTCACTCCTCCTGCCTCAGCCCCCCAGAACACTGGGATTACAAATGTGCACCACCACCCCCAGCTAATCTCTTTCCTCATAAAACTCTATGCAAAGGACTCCTATTAAAAGTCCTCAAGTGGCACATCAGGGTACGTAAGATATATAAGATTCAAGGACCCACAAGTCTTCCATTATACCTTAATTTAACAACATAGTGATATGGATAGGAATTAGCAAGTACTTAATAGAATGCAAACTTTAAAAAAATATTCTGCTAAGACGGAACGAAGGGCACAGACTGTAGTCCCATTTTTTCAGCCCTCACTACCAGTGGAGAGGTAGACTGGATATGCTACGTGTACAAAAGGAGGAAAGATAACTTCTAATTAATTATTTCAATAAGTCAATTAGAAAACTAGAGAAGTCTCTCAGCTTCTCCAAGCCATTGGTTGCACGGACCCCTACAAAAATAAAACCTGTAGCTACTCATGTTCCTTAAGTTGGCCCTTCATATTTGCAGACAGACAACCTGCAGATGAAAGTGAGCCAACTGTATTTTAATCTAGGACAAGACTAAGTTAACAAAACTGGTAACTACCTAATATCAAAAGTCATTTTTTCAGCTGGATGTGGCAGCAAATGCCTGTAATCCCACCACTCAGGATGCTGAGGCAGGAGGATTGCCAAGAGTTCAAGGCCAGCCTGAGCTTCGGGCTCCATAGTGAGATTAAGGCCAGCCTGAAGTACATAGTGAGACCTATCTTAAGACAAAAGTTTTTTCAGTGGAGGGCTGCCTTAAAATTGTTTTCCAAAATGCGTTTATCAAATGAACTGAACAACAGATATACTCAATGGCAAAAAGAAAGCTTGTCAGAAAAACGTTCACTTATAATTGACAGTACTAAAAACCTAGAAGTGGGGAAAGACACAGTGCCATGGGTCCAACGACACTCAGAGCCTTGTCAGCATGACTGCATACCCTGACTAAGTTCTCTCATTCCTCCCAGATTCCTGAAGAGTTCCACATCCCCTCGACCTAAGACACAGCTCTCAAATGGAGGGTTTTGCACACCAAGAACCAGTTAGCATTGTCTGATGACTCTGACTGCAGTGACCTCAGGCAGCCGGAAATAACGTCACCCACTCTGTGGCCCAGAACAGCTCCTTTCCCCACAACAAAGAAGTGGAAGAAACCAGGACGCAGGACAACATACTGCAGCACACTAGGCGTCTAGTTCCTTCTTACAGCATTCTTTTTGGTTTCTGCTATGAGTTTTTTTTACCTATGTAACTAACAAAAACATATTTTACCTTAAATTGAAGAGAACAACTCAACCAACTGTGGCCAAGTTATCTCCCCTTGCATTGTCCTCAGTAAAGTGTAAATTGAATGTTTTCCTTTACAACTCCTGATTGTGGTGTAGTGTATAGGTAAATCAATTTGCCAAATCTCACAGACCTAACCACTTAAAGTAGCTGCATTTACTAAACGTAAATTATACTTCCACAAAGTTGTTTTTAAAAACGTATATAGGTCAAACAAAAGCATTTCTAAGGTTGAATTAAAAGGAAGGTAAATGCCATCTGATATAAAGAAAAAAAAACTGTAAGTTAGTCTACATACCCTGAGTTCCAGGTTTTGCTGGAGTTGAGGAAGAACTAAGCAGTGGATCTAAGGAAGGATCCAAGAAACCTGTGTTTGTGTTTGTTTTATATGAAAGCTGAGCTGCATCTTCTGATAGGTTATCTAAATTCAGCTTGTTCTGTCTACTTGTATCTAGAAGATCTTTTCCAAAGAAAGCTTCCTAGACAAAGACAAGCACATGAGAAAATGATCAGTTATAAAATTCTAGGCAGATACTCTTCTGTCATCATTGTGCAATATAAAAATTGAAGATAGAAATATAAAAAGATTCTGTCAATTCTTTTACAGATTCCTCTCATTTTAAAAATAAGATTTTTGTAGCTTTAGTACTAGAGACAAATAAAATTATAGAAACATACACACACAATTATGTCAAATATGTTCCTAGCAACTGCAGGATGATAATTCAATTCCAGGAGCTCAGGTTACAATTAAATTTAAAAATTGATAGATTTATAATACCATTGGTACCTTAATTCATATTATAAGCAAAACTAAAGCTTCAAGAATACTACTAATATTTATAGATCACTTGCAGAGGATAACACAAGACTTTGATGTATAGCTTTAATATTTATATATTACAGGTAGATTTAGTAATCCTATATTGATTCATATACTGTAATTACACAGAAGACTTCTACTATAAATCTGAAGAAGGTTTTTTACAGTTATTTTAACCACACTATGTGGGCAGCATCTGCAACTGCTGAAAGTTCTGGCTTACTGTCCGTCCAGTCAGGTGGACACTCCTCCACGTCCACACACCTCCTCCAACTTTGGGCTAGTGCTAGTGCATTTAGCTGAGGTCCTGACTGCAGGTCTCCCTGACCCTGTTCAGTGATCAATACAGAAGACAAAAAGGAAGCCTGCAGGGCCCATTTTCTTTTGTTTCAATGTGGCAACCCTGCTCTGGTCTGTTTTTTACTACATGGCTTGTCGGGTAAAAGGATTCTTTGAAAGACAATTTTGTAGTAGCCATCAACATTTAACACATTTTTGCCAAACAGGAAAAAAAAAGGTTCACTGAAGCATTTTTAAAATACAAAAAGTGAAAACATCGTTTATGTTCCTGAGGAGGCATATAACTAAATCATTTATATATACTTGTACTACAAAATACAATTTTGAAAAATATGTGAGCCGTGCTATCTAATATCTAAGAAAAGCCCTGAAATCTGTTACTAATTGGGATGGACACTAAAGAAAAAGCAAGTTGAGGGCTTGGGATGTAGCTCAGTGGCACGTAAGTGCCTATCATACTCAAGGCACTTAGCTCCACAAAAAAAGCTGAATGATATGACATATCATGCAGCAAAATATACAAATCAAGGCTATTATAAGCATGTACAAATAAAATATGAAGGGATTATATTTTGAAAAGGATTAAGGGGTAATGTCTGCTTAGGTGACGGTTTATTGGGTTTTAAATTTTCATAGTTTTTAAACAAACAAGTTGTTCACCATGAAAAATTTAAAAATCCAGAAAGCTAGAAAACTGAACGGAAGATAGTTCGCTCCTTTTCCAGCAACGCTCTGATTATCAGGTAAAGTGCTGAACAGCACAAAGCACCCTCAAAATTTAGAGATTATTTGTTTAATCCTTTATAAATTTGAGAAATTGGAGACCATAATTAAGCAGTATTTTTAGTAATTCATGGTGACTCTACCAGTAATTATCAAGAAATGGAACACATATTAACTTGGGGAGGTTTCAGTTGCTGTAGTTAACACAGAAGAGGATTCCCACAGGATTCCTAACTTTATACTGTTAAGTGACTTGAAGAACCAATCAGGAACTATACGTATAGTACTAAAAAGATCCTAACTATCACACAGTATCACTAAACTATCAGATCTCATAAATATTTCTAGGACAGAGATTATACAGCTCATCTAAACACTTTTTAAGAAAATGTAGAAAGAATGCTATTGAATCCCTGGTACATTTTTGTCAGTATGTGCTCCCTTAAAGGGGGGAAATACAACCATTATAAGACACCTAAGAAATAGTACCAATACAAAGGCTTCTTTTAGCACATTAACTGGAAAAAAAAAAGTTCAATCTTAGTGTTGGGTATGAACAAAAAATACAGCCTATTAAAGTAAGGTCTCAGCAATAATTGCTAAATCAGGTCCAATACTTTCAGTGACACTTGTCATTGTATTAAAAAGTCAGTCTCCACACTTTCATAAACAGGTAAGAAATCCTCCTAAACATACATTACAGTTTACAGATGGGGAGCAGCTCATATGCTCAGGACTCCCAGAAAGGTCTGCTAAGAAAGGAAATGAGGCAAAGAGGAAACAACACGATCAAAAATACAAACAAGTACGGAGTTTTTTCCTGACCAATGAAATTACAGTTTAAAAGTGGAAAGCTAGGATGAAAGAATATTTCAAGGAACTAAGGAGAAAATAAAACATATCTTAAGTCTATATGAAAGTAAGGCACAGAGTAGACATTGGACATATCTATTCTCTGTTTTCCCCTGCAGTGCTGGGGATTGAACCTGTGGCAAACAGATGGTGAACAGAACAAGGTCACCCAACTATTTCGAGAGTGCTATGTAAGAACTCTAAAGTGTGAACTCTTTAATAGGAATAATGTCATTAACATGTTAGTACTCCAATTGTTAAAATAGAAAGCTGCATAGGAATTGAAAGAAATTGTGTGTGTGTTTATTTATTTACTTATTCATGTGTTTTTGAAGACAGGGTTTCGCCATGCACTTCAGGTTGACCTTAAACTCACTTTGTAGCCCAGCCCAGGCTGCCCTCAATCACACACAGTGATCCTCCCGCTTCACACCCTCTGAACACTGGGGTTATAGGTGTGTACCACCACACCCAGGAGAAATTGTGTTTTAAGACAAGTTAAACTAGTAATAGCTAACTGGAAAATTAAAAACTATGTACAATTCAAGCAGGGTATGCTACATAGATCATAGTTTCATGAAAGGACAGATCAGATGAACAGTTACATACACTGAAATTGGGATGGACACTCAGTGATAGTCTGTCCCAGTTCAACGGAAGAAACAGAGGCGCAGAAAGGATGAATACCAGGCTCAGAATCTAAAGTATTTCGGGTCCATGTTAGATTTTTTTTTTTCTAGTCCTATTTCTAATATAGAGGTTTTTTAACAGATTAAATGGCTTTATATTCTTCTATGACTTAATGTTTATAAGATTAACTAAAAGGTTTTTTTAGTCTACATATATAAAATACAATTTCTTCATAATGAGACATATCTTCTAATTTGTATTTTGGAAAACAAAAGAATTCTTTGGCTTAGTCTTTGGCTTACCAGGCTTCTCAAAGTAGTAGCCAATGACTAAAGCTGTTACTCTGGCTGCTTAAACTTATCTTTATTCAACAGTTACTGTAACTTGTACAGGCCAAGGGAATTTTCAACAGGATCTAGACTAGGCCTGCACACAGATTATCAAAGATAAAGAAGACAGCTCTACATACTCCAAGGAGTCCTTCTTATAGCTTATAAAATGTTTAGAAGAGAACAAGTGAGATAAACTTTATGAAAAGTGTCAGCACAAAAAAGCATAAATTTTAATTTTTAAGGGGCTGTGGAAGGCAAAATGACATTTATGACTAAATGAAAATAACAACAAATCCACTTTTAAAAACTTAACATATTACATTCTCTCAATTAACAAACAATGTAACGTAAGGTAAAGCACAATATTACTTGTAGATAAGCAGGGAATGTTTCTTCAAGTTTATTTTTCCTTTTTCGGTATCTTTTCTTTATTTTTTCAGTGCTTTCAGCAACAGAAACAGATTCATCCACCAGAGTATCTGGTAACTGCTCACTCCAGCCTGAAATAAGAGTCACATTTATACATATGTGGCATTTAAATTTCAAACAAATCCACCTACATTCTATTTAAACAAGTTTTTATGTCACAAAAAGATCTCAAAGAAAGTTTATTAGTAAGTTTTAAGCATCATAAAATTTAATTTCATGTCTATTTAATATTAGCATATTTCCTGTTCTCTTAATAACCAGCATTTTCTTGCAACACAGAAACTTGTTTTTTAAAACACAACATGTAGTTACAGATGTCAAACCTGAAAATACTGAATTTTCATGTGTCTGCGTACTCATATACCCCTACAGGAAATTTGGAGGACACAACTTTCTGTAAAATATACTGGAAACAGACAGGAAAAATCTTTTTTCAAAAATGTTTGTGTTTCCTTCTAGCAATTCTAAGTTCAGAAATATATTATTAATGAGGTTATTCTCTGAAGCACTAAGAATGAGAACATGTTCACTGGTAGATGTGTTTATACAACATTATAGTTTTATCAAAAGCCACTGGAGTAACCTGTCACTTTCAATTAAACTGCACAGATCTGAGTTGCATTTTAAGAAGCTGAAGCCTTTGTTTAGATGACCAAAAAGTATCTTACATAAGTAAGCGATTGAGTCCTTACATTGCCTATACTTAATATAGGAAATACATTTAATGAAGAAGAAGTCTTGGAGGAGTGGTCTGAGTGATAGCTCAGTACAGAGCATGTTCTTAGCATATGTGAGGCCCTTGGGTTCAATCTTCAGGACCAAAAGGAATAAAAAAAAAAAAGAAAAAGAAAAAGAAAAAGAAAAAGAAAAAGAAAATAAATTAAAAAGGAAAAGAGTCTGTTGTATTTAAATCATTTTTTTATCAAACCTGACTGCTATACTAAGTATGAATTATACGTGCATTTAAATCCTTTGATCAATAAGAGCAATATAGTTGTGACAGTGGCATTATTTATGATAGTTCTTTCTAATAAAGACATCAAGATCAAGGGGTTAAATCAAAGAAATTCAGTACTATACCATCATCTCTGTTAGGTAACTGCTCGGTAATAGAGCCTGAGGAATCTTTTCTGATCACAGATCTCTTCGTTTTTCCTTGCCCTGTTCGACTTCTTTGTCGTACCATAAATCCACCAATACCTGTCCAAAACAAGAAATTAGATAAACTGATAAATACTTTTAATTTGTTCCTATATATATACTGTACTTCTACAGTAAGTAAGATGAAATTGCTTTAATAGTGAGGCATTTTCCAACATTCATTCTGGGCTATTCTAAATTAATAATCTCATTTTTCTGTAAAACAGAACAGGTTTCAAATAAAAAAAATTAATGCTACTGTTATCACTAATTAAGCAGGAATTAAAATTTTCTAGAGTACAAAAAGAATTCCATGCATTTACCCTTCTAGACTAGGTCAGAATAAACACTGAACAGTAGATTATGCTCTTTTGTCTACTAAACATCAAATTATTAACAGTACACTGTAATCATTGGTACATTAGTGAAGAACACAACATACAAACTAAATAAGGCATACATTGATGAATACAGCCATCCCCAAACTTTGAGAATTTCTTCCCAAGAGGGGGCAAGGGTCAGATTCAAGGGAGCATGTCACCTCGATCTCTTGGACATGCAATTCACTGTGGGGTTTGTGCCTGTATGAGAATCTAACAATGCTGCTGATCTGACAGGAGACAGAGCTCAGGCAGCAAGGCAATTAGAGCAGCTGTAAACACAGATGAAGCTTCCCTCGACAGCCGCTCACCCCATGCTATGTGGCCTGGTTCCTAAGAGGTTAGAGACCTGTACCAGCTTGTGGTCCAGTGGCTGAGAACCCCTGGATTAATCTGACTCGAATCTGTGCCTAGTTTTTCTACAGTATGAATGCCTTATGTTTAGACATAAGACACAGAGCTCCCAAGTTGAGAGCACAAAATCTGGACACACAATACTGTGTAATTCTATTTAATAACTAAATTTGGGCAAGTAATCCTTCAGTGCCACAGTTCTCTGACTGATAAAATGGGGACAGTATATAGCACCTTCTCACATATATATGACATAAGTATAAATAAATATAAAGTGCTTAGAATACTGCCTTGCACACAGTCACACTACTAAGCTTTTGCCAAATGATACAGCTGTCTAACAATATACTCTGAGACCTACAGAGTACCCCAATTAAAGGGATTACTTCCATGTAAGGAAGAGAAAGAGGGAAAAAAACAACAAAACATAAAGTCCTTAGAAAGAATTTGCAGTATCTTACAAAAAAGTAAATGTGGGCTGGGGATGTAGCTTAGTGGTAAAGCACTTGCCTAGTATATGCAAGGTCCTAGGTTCAATCACCAGCACCGCAAAAAAAAAAAAAAAAAAAAAAAAGGTAAATGGCGTTTGTAAACTTCATAATTAAGAAATAAAACCATTTTCACAAAATGATTGGGATGAAACTAATCTTCAGTCCTTACAGAATGCAAATAAAGTGAGAAGGTGTTTTCCTTATATATCGAAAGGAATTTAAAGGACTCTTTAACAATAAAAAGATGAGGAATCAGGAGAATAAAGGTTATCCTATTCCAATTTCATGCCTCCTTTACTGGTTCACAGACGTTAGTAAACAGACTAAAGAAAGCCTACAACTTCTGTACTGTGACACTTCAATATGGTAAATAAAATCTCATAAGGCAGGCAGCTTTTCTCTCTACCCCTGAAGAAAACAGGAAATAAGAAGGTGTTAAATCATTTGTAGTTACTAACTGGATTATAAATTCTAGGAGTCATGAGGACCTTGTCATGTCCACCTCACAGTGACCCTTACTGACATTCCTTCATAAACACTGAAACAAGTTTTTAAAACATAAAAATATCAGACGGTCAGAGGTGAAAAGAGAACTGCAAAAGTATGTATCAATGGAAAATATATGAAAGGCTTTGGAGTTGATTATAAATAAAAACCAACTAGTAAAGCATTTAATAAAATGGCTACATGTTTGGGAAAAGGCACTGAATAATGATTTACTCAAGATACTCAACAAACTCATCAGCCAAAAAGCACATTCAAATAGTCTAGTTATTTGGTGCACACTTACACATTTCTGAGAGTTCTTAGGATGTTATACTTAGTACTGATTACTTAATAACTCAAGTCCTCGATTTGGGGGCGGGCGTCTGAGACAGGGCCTCGCTAGGTAGTCCAGGCTGGCCTTGAACTCACAGCAATCCTGCCTTAGCTGCCAGAGGACAACTGCACCTGGCTTTTTTCAATTGTATTTGAGACAGTGTCTCACTATATAGCCGAGGGCTAGGTAGGACAAATAGGTTGTCCTTAAGCTCACAATTCTCCTGTTTCAGGCTCCAGAGAGCTGAGAGTACAGGAAAGTGCTCTCCCACCTAGCTGAAGTCCTCAATATTGTATTCTCTTAAATTAGCTACAGCTTTCCAGCTGAGGCACTTCACCTGGTCTGTATGGCTTCCTTTTTCTCTTTTTGACACCATCTGTTCCTTCTACTCCCTTAGTTTCATCATCCACAGCTTCTCGCTCAGGACTAGATTCTGATTTTCCATCACAATCCATAAGTTCTGTTTCTGGAAAAAAGTAAATGTACAGATGAAACTGTAGAAGTCCACCAGATACATACTCCATAGGTAAAGAGGACTATAAAGCCAAGGGGCCACCAAGCCACTGTAACTATGCATCTCAGCAGGTAGGGAAAGCAGAAAAACAATCAAAGATGCCCCACTGCTTAATGCAGTGTGTCCTCAGGGATAAAAATTAAGAATCAGATAAGGGGAACACACAGAGAAAGACCTCAAAAAGACGATGATCAGTCAACTTGCATTTTACAAATCGTTCTCTTTTCATTATGTCTCCAAGTCCTAGATCCCTCTCTCTAACCTAGAACTCTTCTGAGCTCCAACCACAGTGGTAACTGAAAACTACCTAGTTGCTAAAAGCTACCCCAAATTACATACTAACTCAGGATTAACTCTGTCCCTTTCCTATGTTATCCATCTTCGTTCATCACAGGACATTAAAAATACCCTGGAGAAGACAAAGTCTGGATGACAGCATTGACAAATTCTAGTTTCTTTTCTCCTCTGGTCAAGACTTCTCAGTTTCTTTCAAAACCAATTTATTTCCCTCTAATTTTATTTATTCATTTTTGGGGTGGTACCAGGAATTGAACTCGGGACCTTGCACTTGCCAGGCAGGCGCTTATTCCCCTGAGCTATATCCCCAGCCCCTCCCTCTAATTTTATGTTAGTTCAATCTTGTGGTTAATTTGCTATAATACTCTCCTAGCTCATTCACATTCTCAATGCACACTGTTTTGTTTTCTTTAAGGGCAGGATTTTTTTCTTGTATAACAGGGTTTCCAGATTCCAACAGGTGAATAAGAAGGAAGTCTGCTTCTACTGCACATGAAATTTACTTCTGATACACTGTGGTAATGATTAATGACTCATCTTTAAAAGTAGTTATAAAAGAAAAAAAAAAAAATCAACAGAGGCAAAAGGAAACTTTTTCAAAAACATGACTGTTGCGATACTCCAGGGCATCACTAGTTAATTTGGACTTTGGAGACTCCAGTGGAGTTTAATGATACGTCTAAAATTACATGTGTAATGTTATCTGTATTATATTCTGACAAACTGTACAGCTGAAGATCACTTTTAGTCAACAATACTTCTCAAAATTTAATATTGGAATTACCCAGTCTCACCCTACTACAGAGGGGAAAGTCTATGCATTCTTTCATTACAGTTTTCCTATACTTTCAAAATAAAGATTTGGAAACATTCAGTTCAGAGACCGGCACTGGCAGAAAATCACTACCCCCAACACCCACTTACAAGAACACAGGGATAATTCCTTTCACTGACAGGTCAGATCTTGCATCACAACGACAGAAACAATGTGGGGCTCTGCTGAGCTGTGAGATGAGAACAGAGCCAATGGGGAAGCACAGATGGGACACTAACAGCTGGTTGGTCCAGAGAAAGCCACATCTGGGAAGTGCTGTGGTGAGCAGGGCACAAATCTGGTGTGTGCGCAACACAACCACCCTGGTGGGGTTGGTCCTAGCATATGTAGTACACTTTACACACGGACAGTCTAAGCATCACAGAAGCTGAGTAACTTGGCTAAAAGCACCAGAGCTGGTGAACAAAGCCCATGGTCCAACTACGCTTTTTATTTTTTTTCAGAATGCTGAGACAGAGTCTGCACATAGAACTTTAAATGCAGCTAATCTTGGTTTCATACAAAGTAACAAAAAAGGAGCGATTGTATTAGAAATTTGAGCATTATATAACAATACAAATTGAAGATGACAATTTTTTCCTATTTTTTTTTCCAGAACAGGCATACTTTGAATAAAGACATAAAACTCACTTTAAATATGTATGTGGCATGTACACGTATGTGTCACACACATACAGGGTGGGTGATCAAAATATATAAGTAATGATTTTAAAATTTATTATAAAATATTAACTACACCTTCATGATAGCAAGTTATAGCATCCAATTTTTAAAAGGATTTTATTTAGTAAACAAAGAAAAACAAATGTTTGTCAAATAACACACATTTACCTCATCCTACAAAAAGTATCACTCCTTCACCAAGGATTTCAGATCCTCAGACACTAGGGGCACGAGGGAAGAGTCACGAAGTACGACACTCAACTGACCAAATCCCAAAACTGTCTCCACTAACACTGCAGCATCTGATACACGAAACAACATTCACTTTCAATCCATTAAGAACAGATTCAGTAGGTCAAATTAAAGATGGGCATTTTACCACATACATCGTTTCAAACAAAGCCTGGGTAATTTTCCAACTGATTTTGTTAACATGACAGGAGTAACAGAGTATGAAGTTGGAATAAAACACCATCTCTCATAGTGCTGTTCCACAGAACAGCAGGTACAAGGAAACTTTCCAAAGTCTCTGTTGTTTTTGAAGATTCTATAATCTCAAGACTTGGAAAATAATGTGTACTATCAAGAATCCTTTCACATTTAGTAAAACATACCATTTCCCAAATTTAAGGGAGTCAGGGTAAAATCCTTTCTCACACAAGTTTTAATGTTATCAGAAACTAAACTTCTTCATGTATTCTGGCTGATGCAGATCTGGATCAATTCCCCTTATCTCTTTACAACCCCCAATCCACTTTAAACTTCCAAATCAAATTCACTGTTCAACTGTATTTAAAATGCACTTATACATAACCACAACTTTGCTCACAAAAAATACAAAAACACAAACCCCAAACACACTCCTGCAAAAACAAAACAAGGAATACATGGTAAATTACCATGAATTTATAAGCAGTATCTTCTCTAAGCCACAATTACCTCTTACTTGAGGACTACTGGCTTAGCCTGCTGGTTGATTTGCTAGACACAACTCTTGTATCTAACATTCTGACAGCAGAATGACATCTTACAATACAAATGAGAACATGCCCCTTTCTCTTCAGAAACATCCCATAACCCTCTGGCAAGTGCAAACCCCCTAAGTGTCAGATATGACACCACCACCAGCACTACAACCATCAACCTGCCCCGTCCTCTCCCCACACCTGCGACCTCCCTGGCTCCTACTGCCCCTTAGGTCACTCTGCCCTCACACATGCTGGGCGTGCTCTCTCCAGGGCCTCTGCCTTGATGCACTCATTATCTGAGGATGCTTTATCCTCAGGTAATCAAGTGGCTCACATACTCATCTCCTTCAAGTCTATGCTTAAATACCACTTTCCATTCATTTGACCCCACAACACCACTGCCTATACTCTTCTGTTTAGCCTCTTACTTTTTCCTTAGTACCTGCTCAACACAATAATTGAGTTAAGTTTATTTATTGTGATGACTGTAGCAGTCTTACACCTGAAACTCAAAAAGGAAACAACCAGCTCCAAACAACTAAATATGCTGTTCCAAAACATGAAGCTTTCACTGCCACATTTACTCAGGACCGTTCCTGTAAAACTAGACTTCTGACCGTGGGCTCCCACTTCCCTTTCTTACAGGTCAGCACCCTCATGCCCCAAAGCAGTGGTCCAAGCAGCTTCTAAATCATGCTCATACTGTGCCACCAAGGCTGGGTCCATGACAATCTCTGGTGAGGCCACAGTGAACATGGTGATGAACTCCAAGTTTGGGTCTCTGATGAACTTTCTGGAGAACCACAGAAAGAGCTTCTCAAACTTGTGGTTACTTTTGGTAGAAATACCACAGTACTGAAGATTCTTCTTTCAGCAAAAGCCACTTTCCTATCCTTCATGTCCACTTTGTTGCCACACAACACAGTGGGGATGTTCGCACACACTCCCACCAGATCTCTGTGCCAGCCAGGCACGTGCTTGTGGATAACCCTTGATCTCACACGGAATGTGCTATCAGCACACTGAGCCTGGATGGAGTCACACTGAACTTGATGGGGCTCCAGATGGTGTGGAACACAATTAAATGCACCTCCACTCCCAGTATGGCCCATACTTCTTCTAGAACTTGCCCATCGTGAACGTGGTCTTCCCAGTGCCGCTGTTGCACACCAGCATGACCTCGAACTAGACCTCTGGCTCCTCATGTGCAGCCATCGTGGCCTGAATTAGAGTTTTGTGGGCTTATTTTTTACAGTCTTGTACGCTAACACTGAAATATTAACTCCACGAGAAAGGGGTTTTATTTCTTTCACTCACTGTTAATCATTTCCAACATTTGACACAGTGCACATACAATAAATACTACTGACTGATGAAACATAATGCAAGTTATTTCTGAATCAGCTGAAAAGTAAAAACATCACCCTAAAAACAAACAGTTCTGTAGTAATCTTTGGAGATAAGAAAAATATAACTTGTACTGAATTTAACAATTCAAATTACAGTTTAGCTATAATAACTTTTTTTGTATCTATACTGACCAGAGGAAAATATTAGTCGGTTTATGCCGAGCACCTGTGAGTAAAATATGTACCTGAAGCAATATTATTAATCATTTTTCCATTTCTACAATGAACAGATCAAATTCTACTTTAACTTAAACATGGCATCCAAGCTTACAATACTTGAGATGTATTACGCTACTGTCTAGCAAACTAAAGTCAAACCCTCTGAATTTGCCTTGGAGATGTGTACAAGATAACTGAATCCTAAGAGGATCCATGAAAGTAAATGAACTTTAAAAGGCAAAGTCTAAGAAGATCATTCAGAAAGGGGACATGCCACATCCAGGGTTGTTTAAGTCAGTGGGATTTATCCTTGTAAGTCATAAAGATTTCAAAAGTTATTTTATACATTAATTCTTGCACATGTATTCCAAGGATGACAAATCAGTATTACCTCGACTATCATCCATTTCACCATCCCTTGAATGCTCTGATTGGATGTCTGGAGGGGTTTGAAGGACGGCCACACTATTCTGATTTATAATCTTCAATTTTAATTTTGGTTTTGATCGTTTTCTTCTTGGAACAGTAACTGTGAGACTCTGTAACTGAGTCATCCCTGATTCAGTCAGACAAACACCATCCTGGGTGTAGGTCTTAGGTGGATCTAAAATTTAAAAAATATCAAGAATACAAATTTAAACTTTCATTTTTGAATTTGACCAGTAAATTAATTATTGTTAATACACAATACGTATACTGAAGGAATGCAACTGCAGTTCCATGGAATAATTATCTATTAGATACACGAATAATTAACATAATGATGCCTAATCAAAACTGGGAATAACTAGCCAAGCTTTCCTGGACTTTAGGCAAAAGACTGCATGTTTTTAAAAAATGGTCTTCCTGTCATTTCTGTGCATCATAAGGAAGAATTTAGAAAGAAAGCACTGAAGCTTAAAGATATGCATCAGTCATCCAACTACAAACCTTTCCCTAGAACAGAACAATAGGTAAGGATGAATCAATAAAAGAGAGGAACACTCCAGAAAGCCGTGTGAAAACCAGTGCCAATATAATCACTTATAGGGAGTAAGTACATAGAAACCCTGCAAAATGAATGTTTAATGTACAAAACTGCTGCTCATTAGAATAATTCCTATAACACCCTAATTTTTTTTTTTTTTTTTTTTGGTCTTTTTGAGACAGGGTCTCGCTCTGTGTTCAGACTGGCCTTGAGCTCACTTTCTAGCCCAGGCTGGTCTCGAATTCACAACGATCCTCCTGCCTCAGCCCCCCGAGTGCTGAGATTACAGGCATGCGCCACCACACCTGGCTACCACCCTAATTTTTTATTAGATAATATCAAATATATGTAGTCAAAAGAAAGACTGTAAAAACATCAGAGTCCCCATTCTAGGCTGTCATAGAAAAAAAAGGAAAAGATTAAAGTACAGTACTGGACATATCTAAAGGAACTTGTTGTTAAGGGCTTCTTTTCTGCTAATAACTACACAGAGTGAGGTATCAGTAAAGCCAAAGCAAACAGGGCATAAACAGTTCTTTTAAGAGCTGCTAATTTTCAATGGCCATTTGCTATAAAATTTATAGGAATACTGCCCAAGTAAAACGAGACAAGATGAACATTTTATATTTCAGCTATAAAAATTTTTAACATCAGGAAATTTACAACAAACATCTGTATGACTAAGAATATTTTATATAATATGTGGCAAGCCAATTATTATATAAAAACTGACCATGCGTAACGCTTTCTCTAAAGAACAATTGAGTAAAGCATTTCAGATTTTACCTAGCTCTTTTACTTTTGTGACGATTTGTGCTACAAGTGAAGATTCACAGCAGTCTGAGGAAGGCACTGGAATGAAAATAATTCAGGTAAATTTTTCAGAAAAATATTATTTAAAACTTACATATGATAAACTTTCAGTTTAGGTACTCACTGAAATAAATTCTTGACTATTAAATAGCATTAAACATGGTTCTGGGGGCAGGGGTGAGTTTTGCAGACAGGCTCTCGACTAGGTAAATCAGGCTGGCCTGCACTCACTATGTAGCCCAGGCTGGCCTCGAATTTGTGGTGATCCTCTCACCTCAGCCTCCCAAGTGCAGGGATTACTGGCATGCACCACCATACCCAGCTAAACATGGTTTTTAAAACAAGAGTAAATGACAAGTAGAAGTGATGAAGGAACCATACAAATCAAGGAGTCAAAAATGGCAAAGAAAGAAGCAGTGTACGGATTTCTACACATTGCTAATAGCTACAAGATGGCACGTTCCTTATGAACAAAATCACATTTTACATCGCAAACGTATACTTCATTTTCTCTTTTTGCAAATTACTTTAATAAAACTGGGATCATCAGAATTACATTATAAAAAAATGACCCATTTTTCACAAAATCCACGTGCAAGTAAGAGATTCACAAAAATAAGCACAATTGAGCCCACTTATCGGGTACAGACAGCAAGGTGCGCGTGCATGGTAGGATGGCACAGACTCAGACTTAAAATTATTCTTACCATTTGATGCAGGCATATATGGTCTGCACATGCTACAATCAAAACCAATGTCTGCTACATTTTCCACTTCCTCCTCTGTATTTAAGTTTTGACAAACTGCATGCATCCATCTAAAGAGATCATATTTGTACATTTAAAAAGAACTGAATATACTGAGAAGTGCTTCCTTTTAAACACTGTAACAGGAATTAACAGCTTCAAACTTAAAATCCCTAAGTCTGGCCTGGCCCTACTGCCTAGCCTGCCCAACGATTCTCCTTCGACCTTCCAGGACTTCCACAGGACTAGGAAGGGAAAGGGTGAGAACAGCACTAGGGAGGAAGCAAGTACACATTACTAAGGAGGACATGACAATTTTTTATTCATATATTAAATGCATCAAAGAGCAATGAAGCTGGTCAGGGCAAGCAGGAACCACAAATGTCACACTAAGTGTTCTATGTGCTACCTCTAACTTGAAGTAGATGTAACATTTTTTCTCCTTTTTCTTGTGAAGGGGTCTCACTATGTAGTTCAGGCTGGCCTTGAACTCACTATATAGCCCAGGCTGGCCTTGAACTTGCCATAGCTCTCCTGAGTGCTGGGATTATAGGAGTCCACCACCATGACTGGTTAGATAAAGCGATGTTGAGCAGTTATTAGGAAATAGAAGTGACAGAGGTGTGTTCCTCTGGAACAGAGAGATTGTAGACAGAATCCTAAGAACACCATACTAATATGAAATAACATGGTTAATAATACATGTATACTGCTTTATTGCTAATAGGCCACATAATGCACCAACGCAATCAAAGAAAACTTTCTTGATTTTGAAGCTGCACACACGTTACTACTTAGGAAGAACAAAAGACAGCATCTAAAACCTAGATATTGAATATCAGAGCTTTAAGAAATAGAATGTGAGACCATCTTTTAAATATAATAGAAGATTCCAAAGGCCTCCACAGAAAAATGCATATATACAGGCAATAATTTTGCATCTAATTCCAAAGGATTCATAAATCTTCAAAAAACCCCCAGTTAAAAATCTTTAGAAGTGTGAGTTTAAAATAGGAGATCATTTCTAGCTATCTAGTTGACTAAAACTCTTGAAAGCAACAGGTTTTATTCCTGAACTTTATGATCAGGAAGGTTATTTCCCCAGTTTCTTTTACCATATTTGCAGAGTTAGCAAAAAAAGAAAAAAAAAGCAAGAAAGCTTGCAAGCAATTGCGGAGCGGGGTGCAGGTACAATACCTATCACACTGTCTGCACTGCAGAATCAGATCATCTTCTCTGTAGTTTCGAAGGCAGACCGGGCAGGAAGACAGGCTGGCACAAGGAGCACACTGTGTGTAGTTGTTTTGCCATTCACACCTCAGACCTGCTGATGTGGCTCCACAGTGTCTGCACCAAACACACCTGAAATCCAAACCCCACCCCCAAAGTGTCAAATTTTATTTACTCATTTAGTTACTGTAATTCTCGAAGCTACACTTAAACAGATTAAGGGGAAATTATTTAATGTGTATGTGAAATTTTCTGACTGGTATCTAACACAGCAAATGTGTATTTTGTGATTAAAACATGCATGGCCAATTTTTTAAAACTAAAGTGATGTAAGGAAGTTCGGAAGTTGGAAGACTGACAGAAGAACAAAGGCTAGAGTACCATTTGCATTTCCAGCCTCCTTTAGGAACTGTCTGCAACGGAGGGTCTAGGCAGTAAGTGTGGTAACTTATGTCACAGTCGTCACACAGCAGCAGTCTCCCCGGGTCAGTCGCCTTCCCACAGGCTTCACACACTGTGCACTCCAGACACCTCCAGCCTTTGCTAAGAACCACTTTAGTGATCTGCAAAGCAAACAACCAATCCATGCGATTTATACACTCAGACTTCATTTTGCATAAATTAATATGGTATGATGTAACTAGACACAAAAAAGGCAAGCATTAGGGGCCGAATACTGGGCAAGGCTCACACATATGCTTTTCAGGAGCCCACCTGTTCGGCAGAGTAAGTGAAAACAGCATATATTTTAATGTCATTTTTAGTCCACATAATTACCCTGCACAGTAAGTGATATTCTGTAGATAAATACTGTATTTTTATACATATGCTGAGTGGATTTTAAATAAGTAAGGTGCCTCATTATTTGATACAGGATTTGTCATTACATCAATGAAGGCTACAATCTACGACACTTCCATGAATTCCATGCCTTTGAAATCTGGGTACATGGCACAGGTCTTCTTCCTTATAATTCACAAGAACAACTAAAACAAAATGAAAACAAAAAACTCAAGATAAAAGAATATTTCCAAGGCATTTCAGGCTCAGACAAATTTCAGATATGAAGCTAGGACTGCTGAAGTTCACCTTCTCTATTTCCCTCTGTCTCAAAGGTTTGAGTGAGCAGAAACTCCAAGAATCTCTATATTCCTGATAAACTCCTCAAAGAAGGGGCATCATACAGTATTACAAATTTGGAACTAATTCCTTAAAGACCTCAAAAGACTAAAGTACCCAAGTCACAATGAAATAACAAGCAATCAAAGTACAGGTGTAGAAATTCAGATCATGGGGCAGTAAGAAAGCCTAAAAGCCACTGAGAAGAAAATAAAGAGTAAATTTAAAAGGAACAGCTATCAGAATGGCGTCAAGCTTCCCCACAACCTCAGGCAGCAGAATAGATTGTTTCCAAATTCTACAAGAAAACACTTTTCGAAGCACAGTCCTTCATCCAGCTAAACAAGCAATCACGTGAGAAGGAGCCTACTGTTTCGACAGAAGAAAACTCAAAAATTCAGCTCCTGCATACTGTGCACAAGTTACCAAGAGATGTGTGGAGCAGAATGAGGACTTATAGGGGAAAAAAGGAAGATGGGGATTAAGCAAGGAATGGACTTAGAGGATCACAGTCTGAGGAAGCTTAAGGTTAAGAGATGAACCACATATCTAGAAGTTGCTGGCACAGATCATAGCAGGACAATGTAAGGTCCAGGAAAAGAGAAGCATTTGCCCTCATAAACAGGTCCTTGAACAAATGTTCTGATGCAATGGTGCATCAGTAGGTAAACACAACAAAGTAAGAATGGAGTCACTCGTGACTGTTTTCTTCTTGCTGTTAAAAATTCCAGGAAAAACAAAAGTCAGAGTATACTAGCTGGATCCACAATCAACATTAACTGAGTCAAACTACACTTAAACTATGCAGTAACACAACTGTATGAATGATTATTTTCTTCCTGCTATTAACAATTCCAGGAAAAGCAACAGTCATGGTACACTAAGAAGATCTGCAGTAAACATCAAAACCAACAACTAAATTATTCAGTAACACAACTATACTGGAAGGATGCTGGAGGAAGGCAGGGAACACCTGGTGAGAGCTAAAGCAGAATCTGTTTATTCAAAGCAGAAGTCAACAATTCTAACACTGATAATGCAGTGGGACTAGCTTATTAGGAAGAGTTGCACAATTACCTACAATAAAAGATCTGAAAAGAATAAAAGAGGTTCCTTCAAACATGAAGTTAGGATAGGATAGAGTTAGTTGGTCAACATGCAACTTTTGAGTTTTAAACATATATCTTTATTGCTTTGATTAACTTATTAACTTTTTAAAAAGTCTTAGATAACCAGGTTATAATCTGTTATTTGCCCAAATAGAAAAAGCCTTGGACAGAAAGAACAGAGGTAGATAAGGCAGATTTTTTTTCCTGTGAAGCAGATTCTTCTGTGAATGAGGAGAGAGTAAACACACTAGGTTTTGTGGCCCCTGAGGTCTATTTCAACTGTACGACTGTGCCACTGTTAGACTAAACCACTGTGGATATGTATAAAAGCAAGATCATTGTTATGAACCAACTTCAGTTCAAGTACAAAAACAGGAAGTGGGCAAGATGTAACATGTGGACCACAGTGTGCCAATCCTTAGCTCAGAAGAACAGATAACGTGGGAAACACCCAATTCTTAAGAGTAGAATTTTTAACAGCCCAGAGTGGTGGCACACGCCTGTGATCCCAGCACTTGAGAGGCTGAGGCAGGAGGATTGCTGTAAGTTCGAGGCCTGAACTGCATAGTGAGACCCTGTCTCAAAAAGAAAAAAGAGTAGAATTTTTTGAAATGTATCCTCGTTCCTATTCAGTTTTCTTACTTCACAGAGAAACCTATGCCCATGACCTATATAGCCTGAATCTCAGGTTATTCAACTTATTTTCACTCTCCACATATATTGGGTTTCTATACCACAGCACTGCAAACAGCTCTAGCCAGTCATGACCTCCGGATTCCTAAATACAATCAACTTGTTAGGTGCATGTCTGTGTGTTGCTTTACCTCTCTGTGGCACTTCAACAACTTGAACTACTTCTCCTTTAAGAGTCCCTCTTACTCTAGAAAACAGTGCTCTGCTCTTCATACATTTCTTTCTCTGAACTGGTGTAATCTTTTGAGGACTGAGCCTAGGCCTTTGCAGTATGCTACATCTCTAGCTCTTTTATAATGTTTTTATTTTGAAACAGTTGCATTAAGACACTAAGTTACCCAGAATGGGCTTGAACTTGTGATTCTCTTGCCTCAGCCTCCCAGAATGCTGGGATTACAGGCGTGAGCCACTAGGCCCAGCCTGGTTTAATCTTAATTTTAGGCTCTCATCTATAGTACAGTGTCCAGAGTTGTGGTAGATGTGTCTGATGACCTACAATGCATATCTGCTTCCACTGTGATTAAGTGAGACCACTCCTCTATCCCACCGCAACACAACAGAAAATTGGGCAGAACATCAAACAACTGTTTTCAAATACTGGAGATCCTGAAGTACAGGATTGTGATCTCTGAAAGGATGGAAACGTGTGACCTAAGTCTAGTGAAAATGTACCTTCAGATACCTTTCAGAAAGCTGCCAGCAAAGGAGAACCCCAGCATAAAGGTCTCACCGAGTTGAGAAGATAGAACAAGACTTCACAAAGGCTAAGGCAGCTGGAATTCACAGGACATAGTTCAAGAAGGAAAAGAAGTGATCCGTAAGAATTCCACAAAGCCACACAGGATTCATCTGACATCCCTGACTGCACCCCAGGCTGCACATGTACAAGACAGCACAAAGGCCTGCAACCAGGAGAAAGAATATCTACCTGGGATGTGTAAGGTGAACAATTCCCAGAGACATGTGAATCCCAATTGGTCAGAGTGGAAAAACACTGGTGAGCAGAAAGTACGATCCGGCAGAAACCCAGAAAGGCCATGGCTAAAGTATACGGTAAACTGGTGCTAAAACAGCCATCCTTATAGATGGTCTTAAGGTCAAACAGTTTTCACACGACTATGAAGACATCATGTATCATTTGCACAGATTCACTCACATTTGTATGGTGATCTTTTTAGATGATAAATAATGTCAACACCGTTCTCACACAAGTTATCCACATATATTCTTTTTATAAAATGTACTAATTTTTAACTTCTGAAATGGTTAAATATTCATTAGTCACGATCCTCAAAACAAAAACTTTGTTATATAATTTTGAATAATGTGTGTGTGTGTGTGTGTATATTGAACAGTGTTACACTTCAAAACCATAAAGTGTAGCTAGGCATGGTAACACCCATAATCCCAGCACTCAAGAGACTAAAACAGGAGGATTGCCGTGAATTACAGGCCAGCCTGAACTACACAGCAAGACCTTGTCTCAAAACAAAACAAAATGTGTGAAGATGTCCAGCTTAAAATGAAGGTTCTCTGGACCTATCCCAGAAAGATTAAAAAGAAGCTTCAAAAAGGCCAAGTTTATTGGCAAATAACTGCCTATCACAACAACTACTAATCTCCTCTATCTGACTCACATATTCCTAGTATGTCTGTGGATATTCTGCATCTCTCAATCAGTGAGGCTGTAACATTTTGCACTGTCCAGAATGGAATTAGTGCTACTAGAGTTACTGAAACATGAATTTAAATTCTATCTCTGCCAGTAAGCAGTTATTGAACAGTATACTAACTGGTCTTAATTTATACCAGCATCATTCAGTTTACCTGTACAAGGGGAATTATCAGATGGCTTATTAAAAATGCACAAAGAGGCTAGGGATTTAGCTCAGCGGCACAGCACCTGCCTGGCAAGCGCAAGGTCCTGAGTTCAATTCCTGGTAACGGAAGAAAAACAACACAAAACAAAAAAAATAAAAATGCACAAAGTGGTCCGGGGATATAGCTCAGTGGCAAAGTACCTGCCTCGCAAGTTCAAGGTCCTGAGTTCAATTCCCGGTCCCCCCAAAAGGAGTCGTATCAGTAAAAATGCACAAAGTTCTGAGCAGGAGCCCTTTTAAATGTTAACTTCTCTCCTAGAACCATTAGCAATATTAGCTAACAAAAGCTGTTTATATTAAAGCATCAGTCAGGCTCATGGAACTTATATCCCATCTTCTACTCAAAAACCCAATTACAGACAATTTATACTATAAAGATACAAAGAATAAACGAACTTTGTTCTCTTACACACATATAATTCTTTTGAAAATGGCTTTATAAAAAAAAAAAAAGAAAATGGCTTTATGTAATCTGTGTTTTGTTTTTTTAGTCAACATACTGTGAGGAATATATTTTAAAGTACTGTATAAATTAACTGCACTAGTATTCTATTTTGATAGATTAATAGTAATTTTTCACTTTGATTCTAGATTTACAAAAGTGTGTAGTGCCCTAGGAAAGAAATAGTGTAGTTATCAACAGAGAATTCTCAGGGGATGCAAGTTGATTTGTTTCCTATACTGACATCCTAGGTAAATAATGACATAATGCGATGGTGTTCGATTAGCAGGACAGAAGAGACGAACATGCCTTGTACGTTTGGCATTATTCAGGACCAAGAAGCTAATGTTTGTGCGTCTACCGCACAACGCAGTAACACCAGAAAAGACCTGGTTGTGCAGGACCCGTGCCTTACACTTATGCCTCCATGCTGAAGTCCAGAGACCATGTTACTTTATTCAAACATACAGGCTTTATTAAAACTGAATTCTTACCAGAAAACAAAAACCCGAGATCAACAACTGATGTATTGATCAAGACACACACATATTTATATAACTTTAAAACCAAGTGCACGATTACCACAAAAAAGAAACCTTGCTATGTCTAACCTGAAAACCTGAAGCTGAGCACTGCAGGCTCTTGTTACAGAAGAACATTACACATGATATTTGTTTCTTTCAGCTATAAGCAAAACAAATGTGTTGTAAGGACTGTTTTATAAATTAAATGCACGTATTTTTGCTTGACTTTTTGTTATCCTGCAAGACAATCACAGGATAATTAGTGTAATTTAAGGTCATGAATTTTTAAAGAAATTAATGGGGGTGGTGGGAGGACAGGGTCTCACTAAGTAGTTCAGGCTGGCCTCAAAATCCCGTGAATGCTGGGATTACAGCCACCATGCCTGGCAAGAAATTAATTTCCTGAGTTAACCTATATAAGCAATATTTAAAGTACTTAAATACTGTCACACATGTATAATAAATTGTGAGTTACAGCAGATTAAGAGCTGGGAACACCACATGGCTACACAATTCAAAGCAAACTTCAGTACACTTTTGTTAAGTCATTTAATTTAAGCATATTTACCTTAATACTGACACAGTATGGATGGTAACACTGACCACACTGAGAACAGGCAAGTAACCTTCCTTCTGCTCCCTGGCCAAAACTGCCACAAACCACACACATATCCTGGGAATTAAGAACACAAGAACCGATTTTAAACTGGAGATTAAGATAAGAATACGTAATTTTTACTTTTAAAATACTTCTGTGACTAGCACAGCTCTCTAGCCAAATTCTATGATACCTGTGCAGAAGGAAAAGTAGAAATGTGCAAGGAAGAATCAAAAGTAGAGGATTAAATTCAAACCTGGTGCAAAGTGAACTTGTCGCTACTAGAAAACAATACAACTGTATTGTGCATAGAGTTTTCTTCCTCATCCTTATTTGAAGAGTTATCTGCAGCAGATACCTATAAAAAGCAAAATATGCCAAATGTCAAATTATATTTCTCACTTATATTACATTTAACTGGAAAGTTTCAGAAAATTTCCATCCAAAATATAACTTTTTGCCAACATCTACACTAACAATTTCAAACTACATTACTAATGCTAAGACACTGCCATAAAACTATGAACTATGACACATTTTTATTCATTTAGCTGTCCCTAGAGTTACAGGGGAGGACAGGCAGGAATACCTCTTCTAGAAACCCTATGATAGCTGTGCATGATGTGACCCCAGCACTTGGGAGACTGAGGCAGGAAGATCACCATAAGTTCAAGGTCAGCCTGAACTACATAGTGAGACTGTGTTTCAAAAAAACCAAACCAAACCAAACCAAACCAAACCAAACCAAACCAAAACATTTGTCCAGAATATGGAAAGAACACTCAAATCTCAAGTTAAAAACTACCCAAACTTTATGGACTACACACTTGAAGACTGACTATATCAAGTAACAGATATACAAATATGCATATTAAAAATGGACATTAGGGAATATAAATGAAACACTTATTATATACTTATCAAAATGGCTAAAATTAAGTATGATCATATCCAATGTGGCTAAGTGCATGGAGGAACTGCTTATCTCAAGCACACTTACTGAGAATATAAAATGGTACAATCAAAACGTAAAACAGCTTTTACCTTAAATGCTAATCACACACCTACCACAGCCCCTCAATTTACTCCTAGATATTTGCTGAAGAAATCGTATTTCCATATAAAAGTTCACAGGATTTCATTGCAGATTAATTTCTAATATCCAAAAAAATATACGCAAACATAATATTTTCCAACAGAATAGATACACAAAGTGTGCAATGTCCACGGTTTCAAATACTACAAACTACAAAAGCTACAAAGAAGAATGAACTTTTAACACATATAGTAGCATAAATGAATCTCAAAATGTTAATGCGGAATGAGACAAATTACACCTTGAAGAGTGTGTTCTACACGATTCCACATATATTCAGCTACTGATAATGCACACCAACCCTCGTAAAGGACACAGATTTGGCCAGCGCCTGGGATCAAGGTCTGGTGGTGAGGGTGGAGGAAGGCACAAGGGTGACAGGGGTCCTGAAGAAATGTTGGGAACTTCTTCATTATCTTGGCCGTGGTGCAATTTTCAAGGGTGTACACAAGCCAAAACTCACAAAATTGTGTATCTCAGGTATCTGTAGCCTTGTATGATATTAATTTTGCCTCAACAGGCCTGCTTTCCTTCTGTTTTTAAAAAAAGGACCAGAACTTCTATGACCCTTGCTCTAGGTATAGTAGCAAAATTGAGTAACTTAACGTTTAGTATTTGAGAAATAATATTCCTGTGAAATGAAATAGTGAAGTCACTACATAAAACTACTTGCCAATATGAATCAAATACACATTTAAAGAAAAATCATAATATGCTGAGTCAATATTTATCAATTTTAAAATATGAAGACAGTCACTGAATCTTTAACATTTTTAGAAGCCATATTAACCTGCAACATTTCTAGTTTCTTCAAGCCTTATTAGCACCAAGCACAACTAAAATAAAAAATTAAAATGCCAATCTAAAATAATTTTCATACAGATCCAAGGTGTAACAAAAGCTTGATTTTTTTCAAATAAAAGAACAAGTACATTACATATCAGCTCTTGGGGAAAGGCTGGCACAGAAAGATAGGAGCCAAAAAGAAAAGTACCAAGAGAAAGTAGAAAGTGTAATAAAACGACACAGGGATAGATTACAAAACAACAAAAAGGCAGAGAGATACAGTAAAATTTTTTAAAAATCAACCTACTGATATGACTTCATACAGAAGTAGCTTGCTAAGAAATGAGACTCTCATGATTAACTGACATTTAAAGGCCATAGCAAATATAAATAAAGCCTTACCCCAGGTAACACAACAGCTCCAATTCCACTTTTTAGCTTGGACCTGCCTCTGCCACCTCGTCCTGATAGCCCTGCACCTCGAGGTCTCCGCTTTCCTGGAAATCCAGAGCCGCGGCCCTACGTAGTAGAGATGAGCAGTCAGCATTCTATAAAAGCCCAACAGAATTTTAAATCCAAATGCCAATGAAGTACAACATTTTACTAAATTTTAAAACACATACACAGTTCTCTCTTTTACTCTGATTAGATGATACATATCAGGAGATTAAGCTTACTATCTCTATCTTTAAATAATATGAAATGTATATAACCTCTGAATCAGAGAACGCATCCATCATTGTGAATGCTCTTCATCAGCAAGCCCTGGCACTATTTTTCTATTTCTCTAATTCATATCCCTGTGTTCTAGATTACTAGAATAGCCACACCCAATCTAGATATTTCAATACACAACAAACTGTATTCAATATAAAACAAGTACAAGGAAGAACTCCTATTAAATGGTCACTCAGGGATTACTGTAAGAGCTGACATTTACTGAATACTTACTATGTACTGATTTAAGCCCTTGTTACTCTCAGCAGACCCACAGAATACAGGTAGAGACTGTTTTATCATCCCCATTCTAGAGGTAAATGTACTGAGGGATAAAAAGTTTAAGTAGTTTCTCCAAGGACACTGAGCTAGCTAGTCTGTCTCTGCTTTTTAACTTCTATTCTACACTGTCACATTGCATCAAAATTAATTTTTGCTAATATAAAACAACAAGGAGAGGGCCTATCCTTAAAATTAAGTCAATTTCACCTATGATTTAACAGCAGCCTTATAAACTAAAAATACCTGCCTCAGTCTATCACGGTATTTAGAGAAAAAATTAAATACTATAAGCAAAATGACAAAAACATGAAACTCCCACTTTAAATAACCTGGATAATCATCATATGAAATAGGAATAAATTATCTCACTTTGTACTCAACACAAGAGAAAAACATTATGGGGAAACATGTTAAATTTCTGACTTTTTAAGATGTGAGTACAAACATCTTATGAGTTTTGTTTTTCTCTCCTTTTCTTTACACTCAGACTTATGTATTATTCCTAGGGAAGCCATAGCATGTACACAAGTAGATCCATTATATACTTAAAAATCACTGAATAATCAGGAAAATAGGTGCTTCCCCTAGTAAGATCTCATATCTTCAAGTGATGCCATTATCAGAATTTGGTAAGTGAACTTATTCCCTATTTACCAGGATAGTTTCCAGGTGAAATACACATGGCTGCACTGTGCTAAGAACCAACAGCAAGGGCTGCCCTTGCATCCTTGTTCACTTCTAATCAATACAGCCCCTTCCAGTTTTCAAAAGCCCTCTCCTCCTCTCCTCTCAGGCTGTTCTCCTTCAGGTCCTTTGAGAGGTCTGTCAGCTTCTTTGAACAAGGGGCAGATTGGACAGGCTGTTTAGCTTTGTTAATTTTTCAATAGGCAAAAAAATTTTTTGAAGTTAATTAAAAATTAAGCCTAGAATAATATCTCAATTTTCCCTAACATGCAATGACACAGATATAAATTAAGTGAAAATGGGTGATATCTGCTATAAAACCATCAAACTAGTCACTTTTTATACTCTTAAAGTGCACATTATTCCATAATACTAAAACATTCACGTTATTCCAGAATTGTATTAAATACAGAACATGAAGAAAAATATGTTCTCTTGTAAAGTATTTTAACTTCTGAGAGGATTATTTCCGTTTCAAATTAATTTTTTCCCTTCAAAATGTATTAAGTCTACTTACTTCCAAGAGTAAGAGAATTGTCTACCCACAACAAAGAAAAAAAGCTCTACAATTTAGAGGTTAACACACACAACGAAATCTGCTGCAAGGCTGATACTCTTCTATTAATAGTTTTTTTCTTTTCCAAGCAACATTTTATATCATGAATGAGCAAATCCCTATATAACAAGGGTTTCCTCCTCATAGAAACACTGCTCTAATAACAAAGAAATCAACCATAAAAGCAAGTATTAAAATTTTACACTTGTAAAATTACAATTTAACTTCCTCCCAGTTGAGATCTCTAAATCAAGCATGTTACTTCTTTACAGTAAAATTTTCACATTAAAAAAAGTGGTTCTGGAAACGGACTCTAAAAAGGTTTACTTCTTAACATCCAATAGGACAAAATAAACCAGAAAGAAATGATACATGAATGTAAATGCAATTTTATTTACCACTTTGATGCTCCAAATGGCACTGCCAGGAAGCTGCCTGGGTTTAAAAATTTCCCGACCTTCTGAAATGTCTGGGGACCAGGAAGGTGGGCTCACTGTATTATGGGTACTCCAAGCCCCCTAGGATATGGCAGGTGAGAAAATAGATGTATAAAACTCAGCAACATAAAAGGTCAAAGCCAGCAACTAAGGAATTTTAGAACAGCAAAAACAAATGCAAACGTATGGAAATTAAGGACAAACTGCTTTAAAAAAGTAAAAATAAACTTATCACAGTGACTTTATATTTAAATGTTTGCAATTATGATTTAATTACTTGTTTTATTCTGGTTGAAACATCGTGACAATAAAGCAAATTAAAAATCAAGGTTTACATGACATCAACGTTGACTCATGAACTGCAATTATAGAACCAAAAAATAAAACTCAGTCACAATCCAAGAATTAACCCTGGCAGAAACTATCTGGGGATTATTTTCTTCTAACAAGTATAGCTGTGCTGAAAAGGAGAAATAGACAACCTTATACTGTAGTATTGCAAGTAACTGAACCAGTAGGCCGAAAAACAGTAAATGCCAACACTTTAAAACTGTGGAAAGTTTGTAACTTTAAGTACCATTATGATTTTTGTACTTGGGCCAAGGATGTAGCTCAGTGGCACAAGTGCGTGAATGGCAAGTGCAAGGTCCCAAGTTCGAGTCCCGGTACCAAAAAAAAAAAAAAAATTGTCTATTTTTGTACTTAATTACTCTTCCTCCAGTGACCAACCATTAGCTATGAGTTTTGGTTTTGATTTCTGTTTAGGGGAATAAATATTTTATGGGGGTTATATCCAAGAGATTAATTTGAAACGTGAAGAAATATTAAAGCAAATAGTCCTAAATTTTCTAATTAAAATGCCTCAAGTACCTGATAAAAGTATATGGGAAATGATACCTTGTTAAAATAAAACTAAGCCATTTCCTATACAAATAACTACATTCAGAAATAATCTAAACTAATCTGATGGAGATGCTGAACAGCATTAAGAAAATATTTCATGAAGGTAAGATTTTAAAGAAACAAATGTCAAACAACAAAGATCTACTTTGCATTAGGTAATTCAATGATACACGCTAATATTTTACCAATTAAGTTACCAAAACACAAGAGATGGTATACAGTACTTACCAGATTTCTACAGTATAATCAAACTACTAAGAATCCCATTTATTACATAAAAATGCCACCAGGAACATAACCAGAAATAAAACCTTGAACTTCACATAAGCAGGAGACAGTTAATGACATAACAGGACTACATTTTGAAACAAACCACACAAGGGAGAGACCACTTTTAGTCCAGGAACTTTGGTAACTTCTCCTTCCCCTGAGCTCATTTCACCCAAGCTCTCAGCATCTGGCACACAGCTCTGATGGGGTCCACAACAGCACACCTATGGATGTGTCAATGACTTCGCTGCTGGCCTTCCTCCAGAGGCCCTGGAGTCTCCTGTCCCTAAATATTACTATGTGTTTCGTCATCTTGGAAACGGTCGTCTCCCACATTCACACTGCTAGGTTTAACCTGTTCTAACATCTCCACATTGGTGTGATTTTCACTTTCCCTTCTTAGTACTTCTACCTTGTGACACAAAACCTCTTAAATTTATCACACCTAAAATCTCTCCCTTAACTAGTTTCATCTCTACCCTTATTACGGGATCTAGTCCTCTGGTCAGAAAACTGGGAGTTCACTTCTCTCATTTGTCCCCAGCCCCTAACACTCTTTGCAGCACTCCTTCAATCTAAATCATCAGTAAATCCCGAACTTTCTGCAGCGCCGTCTCTGGTGTGACCACACTTCTGCCATTCCACTGCCAGCAGCCCGCTCTGCTCACCACTTTCACTTTGCCCACTCCATGCTCCTTCCCTACCACTGTCTTCTTCAAGCTTTCTCTGCCCAGCAACACCAAGCTACTCAAATTTTTTGAGTTCTTCCCCCTGAGCTCAATCAGGGTCAACAGAGAACCCTTTGTTGCCCCAACCCTCCAGCACTCTAAGCAGCGCTGGCTTCATCTGATCTCTGCCATAAGAACCTTCTGCGTTTGCATGCTTCCGGAGCCCTTTCTTTAGCACTACAAAGGAACCACATCTCCCTTCTCATACCTTTAGCATCCTCTCAGTGCATCACCAATTAGTGTGTCTCACTGATTACAACTTGATTTAGTGGTACAGACAGCACAGGCAAGAGATATCAAAGTTCAGTTTTCTCTATTTCCATTGGCTTTTCTCGGAGGATAATTAGCACATCTTAAATTCTCTTGGTAGATCTTGTATCAGTGGACACTTCTCCAAACATACCATAAAAAGTTCTACTCTAAGACAAAAATACTGAACTTTTCATAACTAAGTATTTTCTGGTAGTTATTATATATCATCATTTAAAGTCAGCTTTAGTAAAATAGCCAAAGTTAGTCAAAATGTATCTCATGTCAATAAACATTTATATTTCACGTAACACGGATGAACCAAATGAAGGGCTTTATAGATGAAGAACGTTTGGATGCCACTTCAGGAATAATGAGAAACTGTTCAGTGGCTATGGCGAACTTATATAATAAAAGCTTAGATAATTACATCATGACTTTTAGTAAGTATTTTATCCTAAGACAAGATTATGTGCAATTTTATAGCAACTGAGGGAAAGTTATGACTATACCAATATTCTGACAAAGAAAATGTTACCTAATATATTCTTTAGATCTTAAAACTGAAATACAATGTAATTACCAAAGTTTAGTTATAAATTTTATCCTTCAGATTTCAGCTTTGATTAAAAAAAAAAAAAAAAAAAAGAACTTACATACACCAGCAGGTTATCTGCTGCTGTAATCCATGTGCGGGCCGCCTGCACCGTGCACACACTAAGTGTAATCGCCGGCTACTAGACCACAAGCACGGTGAGAAGAACCCACGCCCTTCCTGCTCTCCACTACGTTAAGCTGCTGAGAGTTGGTTGGCAGCTAGTGAACCTTCTCTCCTGAGCACCTATCATTCTTGCACGTGTGCAAGCATAAATGAACTCCTGAGGAAACACTGTACAATGTTATGAAACATGCAGTGTAGAATTTTGGGCTTTCTCTCCCCTATGAAAAATGCATTGGTACTCTTAAATTATCTATGAATAGACTTAAAAGCTAAACAATTTAAGAGAGCTAAACAGAACCAACCACTATCGAATCCAGTGGAAATTCTTAAAAAATGCTGTCAGTGACCGTATTAAAGCCAAAGAACAATTATGTAACGCTCAAACTGTCTGAAGTTAGTATTACCTTCTTTCTTCAGAGGCAAATTTCCCTAGTAAATTTATCAATCAAGTAAGTTATACAGGTGTTACAGGACTGCAGGACAGAGAAATGGGAACGATAACGGAAGGTGGAGGATAGGCTATTTGGGGGAATATTTTACTAAATGTCAAATCCTCTTTTTGTTTGTAAAAAAATAATGCCACTATTAGAACCAAGGGTACTTTTAGTCTCAAGAACAGCCAGAGAAGGTTTGGCAACTTTACACCTCCAAGTTCTAAGTCAAAGGCTTTAATCAAAGCTCACAAAAATGAATACAAAGCCAAGTTGTTATTAAATAACAAATCCAACTCAGGGAAAGTAAAAAGACTCCAAAGGCAGAATAGGAAGACAAGTGCTAAGAGAAACAGGAAACAAGAATATCATCTGTCTTCTTGGTATATACATTCATTCACACGTACCCTGGAACTGCACCTTAATGATGCAGAGAATTATTTTTACATAAAGAAGTCTTACATACAAAACAGGTTAATATTAAATAAGAAATCAGAGCTGATAGTAATCCGATAAGGCACTGTAAAGCACCAAAGCAGATGTCACCAGATTCAGTCTTCAATAATTTCAGAACACAAATGTGGTTTCTGCACCAATGATTTTAACCATGGCTTCAGAACTGTCACTACCACGGCAAGTCTGGCGCTTTTCATCTGCACTACTCTTCAGTTTAGCACTCCAAACTGAAGGGCTGTGTGTGTGTGTGTGTGTCTGTCTGTCTGTCTGTCTTTTTGAGACAGGGTTTCCCTATGCAGTTCAGGCTGCCCTTGAACTCACTTTGTAGCCCAGGCTGACCTCAAACTCACAACAATCCTCCTGCCTCACAGCCTCTCGAGTGCTGGGATTACAGGCGTGCACCACCATATCCAGCCCAAGGGGCTATTTATTTATATTTATCCACACACACACATACACACATACACACATATATATATATAATATTTAAGACTATGGCTTCCTGGTGGCATGGAGAAATGCTTGTTGGACTTCAAATGGCCTAGGGACCGTCTGTCTCAAAAGTGTGAAACTGATCTAACAAACTCCCAGGTGATGTCAACATCCCTCTTCTCAGGCAAAAATGTCTGAATGTAAGAGCTGATCTTTGTATCCTCTAGAAACACATCTAAGCCTGCATTAAATCTTTCCTCCAGTCCTTTCTGCTATCTCAGAGTTACACTGTGGTCTCCTGTACTGCAGCAAGTATCACACATCTTGCATTTAATAGGCTATTTGGTACTGCTAAAAACTTGTACAATCCTTATGGAAATTGTGGAATTCTGGAAGCCTACTACACTTGTGTTTAATGTGACTGTTGTTTCACATGGTCAAGCCTTGATGTTATCTTCACTAGTACTTTGCAGTACAAATATTCATCAATCTGTTTCAGTACAAATATTAGGAAAGCTATTTTGGGACCACCATTCCAGACTTCTATATAATAATACACAATGAGCACATCTGCCGAAGTCTCCACTCTCACACAGTACCATCTGCATTACTTTGCAGTTGAAGAAGTAAAGTGTCACACTTGCTATTTTGTATGTTATCATTAAATTCTAACAAAAACCATGATCTCATTTTATAGATGAAGAAAGTGAAGCACAACTCCACAAGGCAACTTCCTCAGTGTCTCACAAATAATAATGGGAGGATACGGTTTGAATCTAACTACACTATGAAAATTTCCATGCTGAATTTATCAAGCTTTCCAAGTACCAATATTAGTAGAAACTGGTATCCAGAATACGAAATTTCTTTCTTTATTTTTTGTCTTTTTGA